TGAAAACGCGTCTGCATTTTGATTCGCATACGAGGATAAATGTAGGTCTATGGGCCACAGCAACCACTTACCATCGGGTGGACTGTGTGCTCGTTCGTCACCCTATCCTATAAAAAAAAAACTTTGGCTGGCGGTAACGTGCAAGGCCAAGCTAAAAAAAAGGAAGGAAAGTTAAATGTGGATGAAAAAATATTTGCTCCTCAGAGAAAAACTATCGAATATGCAAATAGTCAGCGTTTTGGACCCAACATACCTACGAAACTATTTTAAAGAGTAGGTGAAAACCAATTCGACGAGTTATTAAGCTTAGTAATGCCTTTAATAGTAAAAAAAAAATACTTTAATGATTTCTTATATTTACGCGAACACTACACATTGAATAAAACTACTTGTATGGATTCTATCGCGTTTAATTTTTTTTTATTAATTCCCGACGTTTCGGATGCTTTACAGCAACCAGTCCCCCGTGACCATGGGTGGTAAAGCACCCGAAACGTCGGGAATTAATAAAAATAAAATTAAACGCGATAGAATCCGTAAAAGAAGTTTTATTCAAAAGAATACTTTTTTAACAGAGATTTGTTGTCACTTTACGATTTTGGCCACTGGAAACTCCTATCAAGATTTGATAAGGCATTTCTTTGTAGATGTCGAAGACATTGAGAAGGATCTTTTTCTTTAGCGCATGACATAAATACGAGTAATGATTTAGAGAGTAGATCGACATAGTAGAACTTTAAATAAACAAACGTGTAGACTCCGCGCATGCGGCCACGCAACTGAGCTCCCTGCCTCCCTGTCTCTTATTACACTACACGATCCACAGCGCGGCAGGGAAGCAGGGCGGTCGGAACCACTCGGTCGCCCTGTTTAGGGACCCTGACTCCCTGTTTCTTATTACACTACCCTGTCCCTGCGGGCAGCGCCCGAGAAATCGTGTAATGTAATAAGCCTTTTAGCCGCCTTTAGAAGTATGTTATCTCTATGGATTACGTCCTCTCTACGGATGTGACATTGAGTGAAGAAAAATCGATTACTAAAAGATAGATTATTTGCTTTGTGATATTAATCGATTTAGAAAAAATCGATTTTTATTAGAAGAAACAATCGATTTTAGCGAAAAAATTCTTTTATTCGAAAAAAATGCTGCTTTCCTTTATATTAATAAAACTACGAGATTTATCAGAATAAAACACAAATGAAATGATAAGCATAAAAAATAATCAGAACGACAATCTTCTGGTTTCAAAACTAAACTACAAAACAATTTTTTTAACCTATAACTATAAACAATAAAAAACTAAAAATAATTACTGCTACTATATACATATCATTTAACAATTTATTAGAACCAAAATAAAAAGAAAAAATCGTTTTTTTAAAGTAAGTTTGAACAAACAAAAAATCTAAATATCATTATTGCCACAAATATTCAGTACCATTGACATTGGATTAGAATGAAAATAAAATAAAACTATAAGTTTAAGTAATTAAACTACAACCATTTCGTCTCAAAACTAATATAACAAATAAATATTTTTTTAAACTTTAAGTTTAAACAAAAAAACTAATAATAATTATTGCCACTAATGTTTAGCATCATTTACATTGGACTAAAATGAAAATAAAATAAAAATATAATTATAAATAATCAAACGACAACCTTTTGGTCTCTGAAATAAGAACTGAACTAAAAGATTTATAAAATTTATACGTGGTAGAGCCATGCTGCATCTATATTATGGTTGTAGCACGAATGGGTCAGCTCGACCGGGGAAGGACCACGCTCTCACAGAATACCAGCGTAAAATAGCAGATTAACGCTGCTGTGTTTCGTATGGTGAGTGTAGAGAACCGGAGACCCTTTTTACTGGAAACGAGGTATTCCATCTTAGTCCTCACGGGTGACAACGCATCTGCATTTTGACTCTTAATCGAAGATAGATGTAGACCAGGACCACAGCGACCACTTACCATCAGGTGGACTGTGTGCTCGTTTGTCACCTTTATCCTATAAAAAAAAACACTAATGTATTTTTTTAAACTTGTGTAAACAAAATAAGTAAAAAAATATTGCCGTGAATTTTCAGGTAAAGAGTTTAAAAACAATAATTTCAACAACATTCTTCTTCGTCTGTTTTGTAAAATACAGTTTTGTTTTTGCCTGACAATAATTTCCGCTTTCGAAAATAATCTTTCGGCTGGCGCGGAACTGGCTATCCCAAAGAGGTGTTTAAGAGCCAACTATCCCATGCAGTGAAAATTAAGGGCATTTAAGAAAAGCCTAGAAATTTGGTCAAACTGTAACCATTTTTCGGTTATTGTGGTTAATTTTTATTATTTTTGTTCATTTAAACTTTGAAACCGTAACGTTAAATAACATTTCTAGAACCACAGTCAAAAATAATGACACAACTGCCCCAAGTTTTCTAGAATTAAGACTATAAGTTAAAATATGAATCTAAAATTTTCAAAATTTGTCGATTTCGAAGGCCTTTAAGAAAATGTACTAAAGTGCCTTGGCAAGTGCCATTAAAAGTTCGCGCATTTAATCAGGATTGTAAAATGGTACAATACTTGTTCGTATCATACAAAAAAAAAAACTAGTAATTAAAAATAAAAACCTCGAGTAACCCGATTTTTGCTAACCTATTTTACTCAGTGTAAATGTTTTTCATTCGCACAAGCTCTTGGTAGGTTCTTAATTTTACGGCAAAATGATGAGAGAGATGGATAGTGGACATGTTTGCCATGAGTGACCGAGAAAGATAGTGACGCCACGCAGTGAGACGGAGATGCGTCTGACACCAGTTATTACGTTTCGCTCATTCGTCTACTGCGCACCTTTCCGTATTCGCTTGTGTTCACTTAATTCAAATTCAAATTCAAATTCAAAATTCTTTATTCAGTATCTTAAATTTAAATACATTAACTAGGCTGGGGTCTCCTTTTAAGTATATCAATACCTGTGTTAGGGGACCCCGCTCTTCCATAACAATTTTTTGTTGATACTTATAAGATAATAAAGATTAAATGTGTGTGCGCGTGCATGTGTGTGTGTGTGTGTGTGTGTGTGTGTGTGTGTGTGTGTGTGTGTGTGTGTGTGTGTGTGTGTGTGTGTGTGTGTGTGCGTGTGTGTGTGTGTGTGTGTGTGTGTGCCTGTGTTTGCTTGTGTATTATAGTATTTGTTGTAAGTTTTTATGCCATGGTGTACATTGATCTACTTATTTTAATAAATTTTCAGTTTCATCATACTCTATTATCTTTAACCACACTGTAACGTGTTTTTTCACATTGTACTGGGTCATTGAATATATATTTAAATGTTTATTGATGTAGTTATAGAGATAAGCAGACTGACTTTTAAATTGCCTTCTGGCAAAACTCGTTTTCATAGGAACTATTTTAGCCACAGCATGTCTTCTTCTACTGTCGCAATTTTTGGGGTTGTATGTCAGTGTCTTCTGTAATCTTAAGACAGAGTTAAGGATATACAGCCTCCTGACTGAAAGGTGGTCACATAGAGAGTACAGATCTTTAGTAGGGAATCTATAGGGCTTAAAGTGCATCACCTTTAGTAACGATCTCTGTACTCTTTCCAGTTCCAGAAACTTCATTTTAGTGGCCTCACCCCAAACCGGGATACAGTATGTCAAGATGGATTGAGCTAATGAAACATATATTTGGCTCAGTAAGTTTTTATCTGTGATATGTCTAAGTGTCTTAAAAATCCATATGAGTTTTCTTATCCTTGTCATCATCAGTTCCAGATGTGCATGCCAGGATAGACGCTGGTCAATTATTACTCCTAAATATTTTGTTTTGCTTACTTTTGATATTTTGTTACAAATACAGTCAGAGTTTGAGAATTCAGAACATGAATGAATTTTGATTTCAAAGTTGGTTTCCGGTTGTGAGTTATTATAATTTGAAAATGCTATATAATTAGTTTTGGTGGTATTGAGAGTTAAGAGATTAGAATTTAACCAGCTGGCTATCTCGGTGAGACCTCTCTCTGCTGTTAAACGAACATCATCCCAGTTGCGCCCCTTAAAAACAACAGCCGTGTCATCCGCGTAAGAAAATATCTGTCCACCTCTGATTTTCATACAACATAGATTGTTAATATATATTAGGAAAAGGGTCAGACCAAGTACACTACCCTGGGGAACGCCAAAAGTTACATCACAGTGCTCACTCACATAGGGTCCAATTCTAACGCATTGTTCACGCCCAGTGAGATAGTCAACAAAAAGTTTTAAAGGGATTCCCCTTATACCTGGTACGTGGTAGAGCTATGCTGCAGCTATATTATGGTTGTAGCACGAATGGGTCGGCTCGACCGGGGAGGGACCACGCTCTCACAGAAAACCAGCGTAAAATAGCAGCTTAACGCTGCTGTGTTTCGTATGGTGAGTGTAGAGAACCGGAGACCCTTTTTACTGGCAAAGAGGCATTCCATCTTAGTCCTCACGGGTAACAACGCATCTGCATCTTGAGTCTTTATTGAGGATAGATGTAGATGTCTATGGGTCACAGTAACCACTTACCATCAGGTGGACTGTGTGCTCGTTTGTCACCCGATCCTAAAAAAAAAAAAAAAAAAAAAAAACCTAAGTCTTCGAGCCTTCGTACTAAGGTAGGAACCGACACGGTATCAAAAGTAGTACTGACAACTTTGGCTTCTCTTTTTGTACTTGAATTTTTGTGAATTGGACTTGTTGATTACATACCGGCAACTTTGGCTTCTCTCTTTTGGAATTAGACTTTTGTGTTGGCATCTTTGTTATCTACCATGCCTACGCGCTACAAGAATATGCGAACATGCAATTCATTTATGGGGAATGCAGATGCAACGTAAGTGCCGCCGCTAGACTTTATCGTGAAAGATATCCAAATTTAGAGCACTATCCGGATCACCGGCCATTTCCCGAATCAAATACGGGCTGCAGGTAGAGCATGCTTTCCTTACGAGGAAGAAGTGTTGCAAGAGGTCGCAGATGACCCACGTATTTTCGTTCGTAGAATTGAAGAAAGAAAGGGAATACCCAAAAGCACATCACATCGTATTTTACAAAGATCCGAAATGCATCCGTTTCACGTACAACGAGTTCAAAATTCTTCCTCGAGATTATCCTGAAAGGATTTCATTTTGTAGAACAATGCTACAGAGGCATAATGAAAATCCCCAATTCATCCAAAAAATTCTCTGGTCAGATGAATCTACATTTAAAAAAGATGGTTACATAAACTTAAACAATTTTCACGAGTGGCATGTGGCGAATCTACATTTAATGCGAGAAAACAGATTCCAGTATCGCTTTAAAGTAAACTTGTGGACCGGAATTTTAAACGGCAAAATTGTTAGGGCTTTTGAGCTGCTTGACATCTTGAATGGCACGAATTACCTACATTTTTTACGAGAAAATTTACCAACTTTGTTAGAGGACGTACCACTAACAGATCGTCGCCACATGTGGTATCAACAAGATGGTTACCCAGCGCATTACGCAGTGCAAGTAAGAGATTTCCTTGACCAGGAATATCCGGGAAGGTGGATTGAACGTTCAGGCACTATCTCGTGGCCAGCCCGTTCCCCAGATTTAAATCCCCTGGATTTTTTAAATTGGGGCGTTCTCGAAGAAAAAGTTTATTCAAAGCCCATTGACAGCGTAGCTGAGCTGCGTGAACGAATTTCTCAAGCTGCTGAGGACATCAACTATCGAGGATATGCCCGACTAATAACTAGATCTTTTTTAATAAGATCTAGGGCGTGTATTGAGGCTGATGGTAAACAATTTGAACATTTATTGTAATAAAAAATGTTATTTCCCTATCTGACTTTTATTCCATTAAACATAAACTAAAATAGGTCAAGATTTTTCATTATTTTATTTATTTTACTTATTTTTGTTGACTTTGGTAAAAGTGGTGTTACTATCTGTCTCGGTCGCTTATGGCAAACATGTCGACTATCCATCTCTCACATCAATAAAAAAACATTTGAATAAAAAACATTTGAACTGAGTAAAATGGGTTAGCAAAAATCGTGTTAATCGAGGTTTTTATTTCTTTACTAGTTTTTTTTTTAGTATGAAACTATCAAGTATTGTACCATTTTACAACCCTAATTAAATGCGCGAACTTTTAATGGCACTTTCCAAGGCAAAGTGCCTTTTTAGTACGTACATTAGAAAGTACATTTAATAATAATAATTACAGTATGTACTTTTTTTTTTCAAAATCGACAAATTTTGAAAATTTTAAATTCATAGTTTAACAAATAGTCTTAATTCTAGAAAACTTGGGGCAGTTGTGTCATTATTTTTGACTGTGGTTCTAGAAATGTTATTTAAGGTTATGTTTCCAAAGTTTAAATGAATAAAAATAATAAAAATTAACCACAATAACCAAAAAATGACTACAGTTTGACCAAATTTCTAGGTTTTCCTTATATGCCCATAATTTCCAAACTGCATGGGATAGATTTTGTTCTGATTTTTCTCATGATGGTTACAATCAATCCTGTCACCCCGTTTCGGCTTGACGTTGAGGTCTGGGACAGCCTGTATAGGTCCAACTCGGTATTTTGGCCTATTGACGTGTTGGCCGCTATTATTTTTTCATTATAAAATGCTTCCGTCAGCAACTTTTATATGTTTTACAAGACATTTTCATTGTTTAACAATTATTTACACTCTCCAACGAAAGAAAGAAAACAACAGAATACTTTTACTCCTAGCGGAGAAAGAAAACTGTTGAAAACATACGAAAGGCTAAACTGTTTACATACATAGAGACACATACAGGTGGCGCCGTCTTTTGATCGACTTGTTCATGTTAGTGAACTTACTTCGCGTTTTTTCATCTGTCGCGCAGATGACGCTGTTCTTTTGATCGACTTATTCATGATATTGAACTTTACGTTTTTACATGCATCGCACAGATGACGCTGATTTGAAAAATCGATTAAAACGCGTAATATACATAATCGATATATTAAAAATCGATTTTTATTATTAAAAACCGATTTTTCAAAATTGATTATAAGAAAAGAATAATCGATTCATATGAAAATCGATTATTTTTTCACATCCCTAGTCCTCTCCACTGGCTCTGGCCTCTGGCTGTCAAGTGCAAGTGCAAGCGTAAATTCTTTTCTCTCTTCCGGCGAGTCGTGTTGGTTGACGGTATGTTGTTTTTGTAATTTTAAATATAAATTATTAGTTACTAGACAAAATATGTGATGTATTAGATGGTCTAAATGAAAATATTGTTTTTTGTGCAAATATTAACTACGAAGTCTTTAATAATTTAAAGATGTAAGAAGATTTAATTTACTTAACCTAACTTTGCCTTAGAGTAGACCATGGCGATCTCCATAGCCGTCATGTATGGACAATAAGGCTAAAGCATTGCCACGTGCTATGATTCCCAGGCGTGAACTTTTGACCCACTATAAGTATTTACGCTTGCAACGGCTAGTGGCGACAAACCCCTCCTAATACGGGTTATTTGTTAAATTAGCACCTAGGCACTTAAATCAGTGTTTATTTTTGTTTGTTTGCACATTTTAGCTCGCCAATATGGTGAACAACCGAGTGCCGTCGGTCTTTTCAAAGACCTATGTAACGCCGCGGCGGCCTTTTGAGAAGGCGCGTCTCGACCAGGAACTTAAGATCATCGGAGAGTATGGTCTACGTAACAAACGTGAAGTCTGGAGGGTGAAATACACACTCGCCCGCATCCGCAAGGCTGCCCGTGAGCTGCTTACGTTGGAAGAGAAAGACCCTAAAAGGCTGTTTGAAGGTACTGCTGGTTTTCATTATAATTTATATTTACGCAGACACTGCGTTTAAATTCAACTAGTTTATTGGGATTTTATCGCGTTTATTTTTTGTATATTCCCGACGTTTGAATACTTTGCAGGTTCACGGGGGCCTGTCCCAATGTCATAGTTAACCACGGTTACTTCTAAATCATAAAAGAAGTTAAACGATAAAATCTGTAAAATTTAATTCCATTTCATTGTTTTCATTTCATTCTAAGTAAGAATACTGATCTTTAAGTTATTGTTGTTCTGCCATGTAATCTGGTAAAGACAGCAAAACATTGTCCACAAGACATTAAAAAATGCTTTCTTAAAATGCCTGTATATTTAAAATGATGAGAATTCATCTGGCAACCTCTTGTCAGATCTAACCATGTTGAATTACTTTTCACTGATACAATAATAAAACAAAATTAAGGTTTTTTGACTTTTCTTTTTTGTAATGAAATTATTACTCAGGTAATGCACTGCTCCGTCGTTTGGTGAGGATTGGTGTGCTGGATGAAAAGCAAATGAAGCTTGATTATGTACTTGGACTTAAAATTGAGGACTTCTTGGAGCGTAGGCTACAGACACAGGTGTTCAAGGCTGGTCTAGCTAAATCTATCCACCATGCCCGCATCCTTATCAGACAAAGACATATTCGGTAAGTTTGCTAAATTTATTTTATAAGATGATATTAAAATTAATATTTTTCATTGAAGGAGTTTCTATTTATTTTGTAAGTTTAATTTTTTATTGCATTTTTATTTTTGAAAACCTTGTAGGATTTGATATATCTTCATCAGCCTGCAAGAGTTCACTGCTGCATATAGGCTCCCATTGGAAGGACATGCCCTAATCGTTACATGTGCAGGTTGATTGACAATCACAGTACCAGATTTTTGTGCTATTAATGCCGCTTCCTTTAAATCTAGTTTAAACAAGATGGTTGTACTGCTATGGAATAGTTGTTAGACATCCATGAAGCTAGATGAAGTGATAGACTGTCCGTGTGTATGTGATTGAACTTTCTAAACAACTGCACCAATTTTGGTGTAATTTTGTGTGTGGTTGAGATTCACAAATGGACCCAGACAAGATCCAGAAATCCGTGCAAAGCCAGGGCGGATTGCTAGCTAATATATAAAATTGTCTACTAATTCCCATTCAAATGTAGTAGCATCTTTTGATTTAAAAGCTGAACGTAAAATGTCACAGATCTATAAAATATTGCCATCATAAATATTAGTGTGAACACACTGCAAGCAGTGAGATTTAAAAGTTTTAGGTGCTTTAAAACAATACTTTGAGAGTCAATTACAAATAAGCTTTTGAATGTGGTCAGTTTTATGGACACTATTTTTGTTGAATGCAAATTTGATGTTGAAAATGAAACACAGGTGAGCAACACAGCGAAGGAGGCTGCCCTCTGGCTTTGACATTTGTATTCATAAAGACCACTTGAATCTCAACCCAGTGTTGAGTTCAATGTCTTGAAATTTGAACTTGTAACAAAATGCACAGGTAATGTAATATAAGCCAATTTTAAAGACTTAGATTAATTAGATATTAGACATAGACTATCCATCATTATTAGCAGGTGTAATTACATTGAATTGCAAGGAAGAAAGTTTTTAAAGAACACAATCCTTGAATTGCTAATAAATTAAATTATCCAGGGCTGGTAGAGAATGCAATAAGGTATTAAGTCCACTCTTTATATCCCTTATTGTAAAGTGTATCATTATCATCATTACAGCCTTTCATAAGTCCACTGCTGAACATAGGCCTCCCCCAAGGAATGCCACAAAGCATGGTCATGAGCCATCTGCATCCATCCACTTCCTGCATGTCTTACCAGGTCGTCACTCCATCTTGTGGGGGGTCGCCCTACACTTCGCCTACTGGTACGAGGCTGCCACTCAAGAACCTTTCTTCCCCATCGGTTGTTGGTTCTTCGAGCTATATGGCCAGCCTACTGCCACTTCAGCTTACTAATCCGTTGGGCTATGTTGGTTACTCTGGTTCTACTGTGGATATCCTCATTTCTAAGTTTATCACACAGAGAAACCCTAAGCATAGCCCTCTCCATAGCTCGCTGAGCGACCTTGAGCTTCCTCATACGGCCAGCAGTGAATAACTATGTTTCAGATCCGTAAGTCATCACTGGCAACACGCACTGGTTGTACAATTTTGTTTTAAGGTTTTGAGGTATGTCTGACAAGATGTGTCTTAGTTTCCCGAATGCTGGCCAGCCAAGTTGAATCCGTCGATTGACCTTGGTCGAAGTTGGACTTAACTAGTCGGGACTATTTGTCCCAGGTAAACATACTTGTCTACAACTTCCAGCTTAGTGCTCCCAACAACTACCGGCATAGGTGTGACATGGACATTAAACATGATCTTTGTTTTGTCCATGTTCATCTTAAGACCTATCCGTTGGGAGACACTATTGAGGTCATTGAGCATGGTGCATAAGTCCTCTAGCGATTCTGCCATAAGGACTATATCGTCGGCAAACCGACGATATAGTCCTTATGGCAGAATCGCCCTACTGTACAAGCACTTCAGCACTTTTATATTGGTCTATGGTGCTAAAGCCCTTTCGGAAACTGGCTTGTTCGGGAGGCTGGAAGTTGTGAAGTCTGCGCGCGAGGTACGATTCGTAATGACTCTCGAAAACAGCACGTAGACGCGGCTCAGAAGGGAATTCAGTCATATTTCTTCAAGAGAGCGTTGTCACCTTTCTTGAAGAACAAGACCATCACGCTTCATGCCTCCGGTGTAATGCCACCATGGAGGACGGAATTAAAGAGCTTCTGAACCACTGAACTTCTGCTCCACGCCTCCGGTGTAACGCCACCATGCAGGACGGAATTAAGGAGCTTCTGAAGGACTTCAAGTACCGGTTTTCCACCCGCTTTCAAAAGCTCCACTGTAATTCCATCCTCGCCTGGGGACTTGCCGTTTTTAAGGTGCTGGAGAGCCATTCTAATCTCGCTCAGACTGACGTCCAGGATATTATCGGAATAATGTCGGATAAGACTCGCTCTTGGATCGTTACTCACACTTGCGTGCGGCTCCAACGATGACGTGTACAGCTGCCCATAGAACCTCTCAATCTCACTCAAAATCTCAGGTGTTCCGGAAACGATGTTGCCACATTCGGTCTTCAGCTTTGACAGTTGGCTCTTTCTGGCAGACAGATCTCTGGCAAAGACTTTGGAGCCTTGGTTCCGCTCGATCGCTTCTTCAATACGAGCTGTATTAAAGTTGCGCAAGTCCCGCCGCATGCATTTGGAGATCTGTCTGTTCAGTTGCCTGTATGCTGTCAAATCTGTTGAAGAATGTAGCTTCATCTCCCGTCTAACAGCCATGAGATTAAGAGTGTGATGGGAGAGTTTTTGTGTTATTCTGCGGCGGGTATTGCAGAACTTAGCTCCGACCGCATGGACAGTTTCCACGAGCTTGTCATTCAAATCGTCCACTTCATTGCAGTCTTCTAGGCACTGAAAACGGTTTTGTAACTCGAGCTGAAAGGTTTCGGGACCTTGGATTAGAGCACGAGGGGGACGGAGCGTTGACTTCATTAGACGAGACCTCTCCAACTTAATGTTTAGGTTCAGTATGCCTCTAACCATTCGGTGATCGCTACCAGTTTTCACCCCGCGATCACGGAGACATGACTGAAGAGTTGACGTCTGGTTGTCATAATGAAGTCAATCTCATTTTTTGTCGAACCGTCGGGGCTCGACCAGGTCCTATTCCTGTAGGGCCGCTTCTGGAAGAAGTAGTTCATCATAAAGAGTCTCTCTTTCTCCATAAAGTCGGCCAGCTGCTGGCCCCTTGGGTTCCGTTGCCGTATTCCAAATTTCCCTACTTGCTGATTTTTAAAGTACCAGCCTACATATGTCCCACTACTGGGCACAGGCCTGCTCTCACTTCGGAGAGGGTTTTAGGGTAAGGAAGTGATCACCACTTTAAACAATTTACAGCTAGCGCTTACCTACTGAGACGATACCACAGCTCTTTTTTGTCAGATGAAAATTACCCATCAAATAATTAACATCCGACTGAATATAAAAGTTAAACAATTGAATCATTTTGTCTATATATACAACTGTAATTTTTTATTTGTTCATGTTGTATTTTATTCTAAACATTGAAAGATGTGCCCTAAGAAAAATTTATATTTTTCCTTTAGTCATCATTTACTCCAAAATGTATTTGTATAACATCAGTTTATGATTTTTCTTATCCCCAGTGTGCGAAAACAAGTGGTAAACATCCCATCTTTCATTGTTCGTCTGGACTCCGGTAAACACATTGACTTCTCGCTGAAGTCTCCGTTCGGTGGTGGCCGTCCGGGCCGTGTCAAGCGCAAGAACATGCGCAAGGGACAATCTGGTGGCGCTGCTAATGAAGACGAGGAAGATTAAACAATAAATTTTGATTTCTGTACTGTTTAATTTTTATTTATTATACTCGTATAAGCAAAATACCAATGACTCATCCCCAGAACTACGCTGCCCGATTTACTTGAAGTTTGGTGTATTCTCGAAGTAGACTGCGAAAGGATTTTGGAAAATTCAACCACTGACGAGGTGAAATAGGATGTTACAGCTTGTACCAGATGTTCTTATCGATTTCATCCACTGTAACAATTTGTGGATGCAGTTGTGTTTAAATAGCGATCAACTGCAATAAGTATTGCCACATGTGCATATGCACAGCATAGCATACTTAATATAATACTTCTGCAATAAGGTTGGAGGTAGGATAGGCTACGCAAAAATTGTATAATTTCCTAGCTGTCACGTATCGATGGCTCCGCGGCGCAGTGGTTAAAAAATTAGTTGTAGCGCTGATGGTCGCAGGTTATAATCCCGCACGCTAGAGTATATAATACTACTGTAATTGCTCTAAGCCCGCACGAAACAAGTACCTATTTGTATGGCCTACAAATAATTGTTCCGGGTTTGGATGTTTGTTCTGGAATTTATGTATCTAATTAATATGTAAACTGCCTCCAAAATACAGGAGAAAATCTTAGTGTGGGGGTATAACGTTTTAAAGAAGAAAGTACCTGCAATTCGATATTTAGGCAGATTTTTAAAGTCCCAATTTTTTTTACAATGTGCTGTTGAATTCTTTGATTTTTAAGAAAATGTATAATATATTTGAATAACTGCTATAAATTAATTTTAATACGTATATTACGTAATATAAACATTTTACTAGTAAACAATACAAATATAGCCTATGATGAATCATACGTGGTAGTGCCACGCTGCAGCTATATTATGGGCGAATAGGTTGGTGGTTCGACCGAGGTAGGACAGCGCTCTCACAATACCAGCGTAAGTAAAAAAATATTGGTAAATTCAATTGGGCATGCCTTGGGCGCATTAAAAGTTACGTATAACATGATTATACGGAATTTTTTAAAGTAGTTTAAATACATTTCGACAGCACTATCGGCTTCAACACCCTCGAAAACCATGAAAATGACACCCATATTGGTACCTACTTCAGCCGCCATCTTGGACTTACATTTCGACAGCACTATCGGCTTCAACACCCTCGAAAAACATGAAAATGACACCCATGATGAAAAATTTGATACCTGTTGCAGCCGCCACCTTGGATTTACATTTCGACAGCACTATCGGCTTCAACACCCGCAAAAACCATGAAAATGATATCCATGATGAAAAAATTGGTACCTACTTCAGCCACCATCTTGGATTTTTTTTAATCTACTAAGCCAGGCGCTTATCTACGATCCCAACTGACGGTAAGTGGTGATGTAGCCTAACATGGTGAAGCGCATTGACTTAAAAAAAGCCTATTCACTCTGGCCTTGAAGACACCCACACTGTAATCGGATGGAAAGACAGATGCTGGCAATTTATTCTACTCCTTTGCTGTACGCATGATGAACGACGTGGCGAACCGTTTGGTTCGAATACGCGGTAAGTCAACAACGAAATGGTGGAGACTAGCCGACCGTCTGGTTGTCCGATGGTGGAAAGGAGAGGGGGGAATTAAATTATGTAATTCCTGCGCACACTCTGAAATGCATCCTGTAGAAAACCGAAATCCTGGCTACTTTACGTCTGTGTTCGAGGCTGGTAAGATTGGATTTAACCAAATTCGGGTCAACAATAAGCCTCTTAGCACGCCTTTCCATTGAGTCCAGAGCTGCTAGGTGGCATTTTGCAGCACCAGCCCATATACGGCAGCAATACTCCATGTACGACCGGACTTGTGCTTTATATAAAGTTAGCAGCTGTCCCAGCGTGAAGTATCGCCGCACCTTTGCAAGGACTCCCAGCTTCCTTGCAGCTGCTTTGGCCTTGGACTCAATGAACCGCCCGAAGTTCAAATTTGAGGATATTTCAAACCCTAACAACTGAAGGCTGTCGGTATATTTCAGTGATACATTTCGGAAAGAAGGAGCGAGGTGAGCTGGCTCCTTTTTTGCAGTGAAGAGACACGCTTGTGTTTTGGAGGCGCTGAACTTCACAAGATTGGCATCGCCCCAATCGGAAACTGCCTGTAGTGTGAGATTCACACGCTCTACCATAGCTTCTCTTTTGGACTGGATTTGATCCCGACTGGCCCGAGGACTTGGTTGGTATCTCTCAACAACTGCTATTGTCTGCATACTCATAGATACCGGGCATAAGCAGATCATTAATATGCAGCAGGAAGAGAGTTGCGGAGAGTACGGACCCCTGAGGAACACCGGCGTTAGTCGCCATAGGATCGGATGAGCAGCCATCGACGACGACCCGGAGAGACCGTTCACTCGGAAAGTCCTTTACCCATTCAATCGGACCTGGGGATAAGCCGTACGCTGGAAGCTTAGCCAAAAGGCTAGTGTGCCAAACTCTCAAAGGCCTTCGAGACATCAAGGAAAACAGCAAGTGCTTCCGTGTGTGGCATACGCTAGAATGTCCCCAGCTGACCGATTTCGGCGAAACCCATATTGCCGGTCACTAAGGAGGTCATTCTGTTCTAGGTATGCCATTAAGCGGGCATTCAATATACGCTCCATAATCTTGCAGAGTATGGAGGTAATTAAGATTGGCCGATAATTGGCAGGGTCGGCGCGGCTGCCTTTTTTTGGAACAGGCTGCACGTGGATCAGCTTCCAGGATTTTGGCACTATTACTTGGATTTACATTTCGACAACCCTATCGGCTTCAACTCTCTCGAAAACCATGAAAATGACACCCATGATGAAAAAATTGATACCTATTGCAGCCGCCACCTTGGATTTACATTTCGACAACCCTATCAGTTTCAACACCCTCGAAAACCATGAAAATGTCACCCATGACAAAAAAATTGATAGTACTTACTTTTACTACGTAGTACGTACTACTATTATTTATTCTGTGCTTTTAAAATAAGTAATAAAAAAAATTCTTATTATTATTATATTCAAGTATTTAAGAAATTTGTTTATTCGAATGTTGTGTATTTGTACAGCGATCTTTTTGAGCCGCTGCAAATAACCGAAACAATGTCCCACAGACTAACTAGTAGATTCTAACCCATAGGTAAATATATACGTAGCAAGTTCTAACGGAATCAGACTGACATCTCACGTAGGTACTAAACTTACTCGAATAAGCTTCTGCATCCTAATTGGTTGTAGCAAAATGATATATGACATTTCTTTTTTTTTAATTTGAAGCAGCTATATCAGGCAAAGGACGTCCCAAATAAGCTTAATTATTAATTACTTGTAAAATTTATTTTAAAATATTGAAAATAAAATAAAGTAAATAAAAATGAAACAATGATGAAATTTAATATTTTTTATTAGTTATTAATTTTTACTTTACAATAATTTTGTTTACAAATTTATTAATATATACAATATAAAAACAAAACAAATTAATTACTTAATTATCATATACAATATTAAAAAATTATAATCTAAACAGATCTCTACAGCACCTAAGTTTTTATATTACATAGCTTCATATTGACTTGGAATGTACTGTGCCCCGCATCCTTACCTGAAACACAATCGTTTACAGCCTTAATAAAAGCATTTTGCTCCATTTGTTGATAATCAAGATTTGTTCCATATTGGTAAAAATAGTATGTAACTACATAAAAATTAAAAATTGTATGTAGTTATTAAGCTTTGGCAGCTGACAACGGCTGATCAAAACTATTTTCCTGTAGAAATGAGTATGTATTGTCTGAAATCAAAAAAATATACGATCAAAAACATAACTTGTAAAAAAAACCAAGTCTCGCAATTCAGTTCTACCGTAAAAAGTTGAGAGATCCATGTAATACGAAGTCGGTTAATTTATTCAGGCCCTACTTAAGGGTCCTTCTGTCTTGAGTTATTACGTAGTTAGCTAACCTAACAACATCTTATAGTGACCATATCAATATTAATTATGTATATATATATATAAAATCTATCTACACCTATTATTCCATTATATTATACATATATAGGTACACTGATTCATTCACTGCAAATGTAACTTTGTAATCCTATATATTTATATGGGATTACAAGTTATTTATGCAGTTAATGTATCTCGAAAACTGGACTGTAATTGAAAAATATTTTAATTTATTCTTGATTTATATACTACACAATAATTGTATTCCAAATTTGAAGCTTCTACGTCTGCTACTCGTAGAAGTGCCTTAGAGTTTTGATGATCCGTCAGTCAGTGAGTGACAAAATTAAGAAACTTTGACAATTCTTAAACTACTGGTTCAAATTTAATGAAATTTGAAATATACTGAGCTTATACAATCCTAATTGGTTACTTAAAATTCAGGTTTCTAGTTATATTCACAACGAAGTTATAGGGTTCCGAAAATGGCCTGAACTGCTTCGAGGAAAGAATGGTACGGCCGTGCCGCTTTTTTGCTCGACTTGGCGGAGGCACTGCCATGCCCCCAGATTACTACTATAACTGTCTTATATATTTATTGATCTTTTTATGGTAACTATTATATTTTTATTTACATAATTTAATAACATTTATTATTAATATAAACAATAAAATACAATATTTAATAGAAGTAAGAGGGTTTTATGAAGTAACCAAAATAACTATATATTAACTTTTTTTATAAAAACAAGACCAATTTATTTATTATTATATAAACATTCTAAACAGATTTAGAAAAGTCATTATCATACTCATGTTTATTAAATCTAAGTGGTAGGACTTCTTTTGCTGTCTAAGACTGCTCTAACCTATTTCTGCTGCCAAATAGCAATACATGCTGTATTGAAGGGCCATTTCATCTTAGTCCCCACTGGGGACTAAGATGAAATGGAGGACTCCCCAGTGATCAATGCAACACATCTGTAGCCTACTTTATTTGATGGTCGACGCAATGGATCATAAATTGCATTAGCCACTTACCACCATGTGAACTGTAAGCTCATTGATTACTTAAATTTTATAAAAAATATGTTGATTTGAAATAAGTCATTATGAACCGATGTATATGACATCCTACCTACTTAATATTAATTATAATACATTTGCTAAGGCTACCAAATAAGATAAAAGTGGTGAAAATTTTAATACTATAAGTTTAAAATAGTGTACAACTGCCACCTAGTGCACTATAGGTATACCCACTGATGACTTTTCACTTCATCATTATCATTACAGCCCTTCACAAGTCCACTGCTGAACATAGGCCTCCCCCAAAGAATGCCACAAAGCACGGTCCTGAGCCACCTGCATCCATCGACTTCCTGCATATCTCTTACCAGGTCGTCACTCCATCTAGTGGGGGGACGCCCTACACTTCGTCTGCCGGTACGAGGCTGCCACTCGAGAACCTTTCTTCCCCATCGGTTGTCGGTTCTTCGAGCTAAATGGCCGGCCCATTGCCACTTCAGCTTACTAATCCGTTGGGCTATGTCGGTCAGTTTGGTTCTACTGCGGATATCCTCATTTCTGAGTTTATCACGCAGAGAAACTCCGAGCATAACCCTCTCCATAGCTCGCTGAGCGAACTTGAGCTTCCTCATCCGGCCAGCAGTGAAGGACCACGTCTCAGTTCCGTATGTCATCACTGGCAACACACACTGGGCGTACAGTCTCGTTTTCAAGTTTTGAGGTATACCTGACGAGAAGATGTGCCGTAATTTCCCGAACGCTGCCCAACCGAGTTGAATCCGTCGATTGACCTCTCGGTCGAAGTTGGACTTACCTAGTCGGACTATTTGTCCCAGGTAAACGTACTCGTCAACAACTTCGAGCTTAGTGTTCCCAACAACTACCGGCATAGGTGTGACATGGACATGTCCATGTTCATCTTAAGACCTATCCGTTGGGAAACACTATTGAGGTCATTGAGCATAGTGCTTAGGTCCTCCAGCGATTCTGCCATAAGGACTATATCGTCGGCAAATCGAAGGTGAGTGATGTACTCGCCATTGATGTTGATACCGTATCCTTTCCAGTCCAGAAGCTTGAAAACATCTTCCAATGCAGCGGTAAAGAGTTTCGGGGATATGACGTCACCCTGGCTTACACCTCTCTCTGCAATTGGATAGGTTTCGTACTCTGGTTCTATACTCGGATAGCCATCGTAGCCCTACTGTACAAGCACTTCAACACTTCGATATACCGACAGTCAACTTGGCATTGCTGAAGTGACTGCAACACCGCCCAAATTTCGACGGAATCAAAGGCTTTCTCATAGTCCACATACGCCAGACATAGTGGCAAATTGTACTCCTCGGCCTTCTGTACAATTTGCCGAAGGGTATGTATGTGGTCTATGGTGCTAAAGCCTTTTCGGAAACCGGCTTGTTCGGGAGGCTGGAAATCGTCAAGTCTGCACGCGAGACGATTCGTAATAACTCTCGAAAACAGCACGTAGATGCGGCTCAGAAGGGAAATCGGTCTGTAGTTCTTCAAGAGAGCGTTGTCGCCTTTCTTGAAGAGCACGACCACTGAACTCCTGCTCCACGCCTCCGGTGTAACGCCACCATGCAGGACGGAATTAAAGAGCTTCTGAAGGACTTCAAGTACCGGTTTTCCACCCGCTTTCAAAAGCTCCACTGTAATTCCATCCTCGCCTGGGGACTTGCCGTTTTTAAGGTGCTGGAGAGCCATTCTAATCTCGCTCAGACTGACGTCCAGGATATTATCGGAATAATGTCGGATAAGACTCGCTCTTGGATCGTTACTCACACTTGCGTGCGGCTCCAACGATGACGTGTACAGCTGCCCATAGAACCTCTCAATCTCACTCAAAATCTCAGGTGTTCCGGAAACGATGTTGCCACATTCGGTCTTCAGCTTTGACAGTTGGCTCTTTCTGGCAGACAGATCTCTGGCAAAGACTTTGGAGCCTTGGTTCCGCTCGATCGCTTCTTCAATACGAGCTGTATTGAAGTTGCGCAAGTCCCGCCGCATGCATTTGGAGATCTGTCTGTTCAGTTGCCTGTATGCTGTCAAATCTGTTGAAGAATGTAGCTTCATCTCCCGTCTAACAGCCATGAGATTAAGAGTGTGATGGGAGAGTTTTTGTGTTATTCTGCGGCGGGTATTGCAGAACTTAGCTCCGACCGCATGGACAGTTTCCACGAGCTTGTCATTCAAATCGTCCACTTCATTGCAGTCTTCTAGGCACTGAAAACGGTTTTGTAACTCGAGCTGAAAGGTTTCGGGACCTTGGATTAGAGCACGAGGGGGACGGAGCGTTGACTTCATTAGACGAGACCTCTCCAACTTAACGTTTAGGTTCAGTATGCCTCTAACCATTCGGTGATCGCTGCCGGTTTTCACCCTCGCGATCACTGAGACATCACTGAACAGTTGTCGTCTGGTCGTCATAATGAAGTCAATCTCATTTGTTGTGGAACCGTCGGGGCTCGACCAGGTCCACTTCCTGTGGGGCCGCTTCTGGAAGAAAGAGTTCATCATAAAGAGTCCCTCTTTCTCCATGAAGTCGGTCAGCTGCTGGCCCCTTGGGTTTCGTTGCCCTATTCCAAATTCCCCACTTTCAGTTCACCGTTCTCTCTTGTGTCTAGTTTTGCATTGAAGTCTCCCATTAACACCGTATATTGGGTTTTGGAGGAATGCATGGTTCTAGAGATATTCCCATACATTTCCTCCACCTCCTGATCGGGGTGTGCCGAGGTTGGTGTGTAAACCTGTATGACCTTCAGCGAATACCGATTGGTGATTCTGAGTATAAGGTACGCAACCCTCGTCGACACACTCAATCTTTACAACGTTGTTAACGAGAGACTTGTGGACGATAAATCCGACATCTCCTTGGAACAGATGGTCGCCCTCCCGGTAATAGAGCAAGTTGCCGGATTCGAGGATTACCGTGTCCTCCCCCTCTCTTCGGACTTCAGATAATCCTATAATATGCCAGCGTAACTTGTCTATCTCTTCTTCCAGCTCCACAATCTTCTCGTCAGTCCTCAGAGTGCGTGCGTTGTACGTTGCCAGGTCGAGTCGTCGTAGGTGGCAACCGAACCTCCACCGGAGATTCTTAGCACCCCCTGCCCCGCCGTTACCATGGTCGCCACCGTAGCCAGGAATAGTGGGGCCGCCGGGGACTGGGGGCCGTCTCTTCGTAACTTTCATCATGGGGGGTATATTGCCATAGTTGCCACGCTTGGCGAGCGGGTTGGCAACCGCAGTTTTTTATTGTATTTTTGCCGTTACCAGGAAGATGCTGCTTGCCACTTTTCACTTAACGTGTCAATATTACATAAATGCAAAAACCTACCCACCTTTTTAAAAATAATTAATTATTATTATTATTAAAAGATAGGTAATTTTAATTTTAACAATAATTGCTAACATTTTTCTTGGAAACTTCCTTCAGCTTGAAGGTCCGTGGAGTGGATCCTTACTTTGGATGTAATCATAGAATTAAGTATAGACGAGAATATATTATGTTCATTATATCCGTCATTTATAGAAAATAAAAATACTTTCTAATGGTTATTGGTTGCAAAGTAACAACTAAAAAATTAATGGTTTTTTAAGCAAATTACCTGTGTTTATTGGCATCATGTGTGGGTATGATTCTAACACTTCTGTTTTAAAATAGGTGTGGTCATAATGCCTTTTCATCACATGCTGATGGTCATCAAGAGCATTCACATTTTCTAGTAAAAAAAGAACACATTTTGTTAAATTTCAAAACAAAAACTAAAGTTCATAGTATATACATAGCATAGTTTCATTTAATATAGAAAAGCTATTAATTAAAATAATATCAACTTACGAATGCCCTCCGAACGGTTTAGTGGAATGCCAGTGCTAATCTCAGATTCCAGGAACAGCGTTGTATAACCTATCTTTAAAATATGTGATTTTTCCCGTAACAAAACGAGATTCAAAATGTAAGTGACATACTTGCAGGTGGACAAGATCACTACACTTTTCTTCTGTAACAAATCACAAGGAATCAATTCAAGCCACTTCTTGAGCATTTTCTCATTGGGGGGAAATTTGTGTAAAATAGCGTCCTGTCGCGAACTTGTACAACCTGGTACACAACACTTATAATACATATCGAGAGATATAAAATACAAGTAAATGCAAAGAAAAATGCCAACTAAGGGCGGAAATAAATTAACGCAACCAAATGGATTTTTTTTATCAGTAAATCATAGTGTCACACAGTGACACTATGATCACAGAGTAAAGAGTAAGGACCAGAGGGGAAGCTTCTTAACAACGTCGAAAATGTATACCTATTCTGATAGGGTTGTCACATAATGCATGTGAAAAATTTAAGGCAAAAATGGTGGTGGTGATGGAGCCACTGTTGGTCCACTGCCTACTACCACTACCTACGACACTACCACCTCCACCACTACTGACACCATCAGCTACACTATCCACCATCACCAGCACTACTTCCACCAACACCAGCATTACTTCCACCAACACCAATCCCACCACCCCCACCAATGTCTGGCGATTGTATTCCAACCATAATGCAGTGGTATTTACCCCTGGGGTCGCGACTCGCAAAAAGTAGCTTATATCCTTCCCCAGGAAGCAACCTACCTCTATACTAAAGTGGGTGGATAAAGTCACACATTTAGCCTTATTCCGTAGGATATCCTGCCATCTGCAGCACTGTCAAGGTTAAACTGACTAACTGACTAGACTTATTCATGTATACTGTACTTATTATTTACCTATATAAATGTATAATTTCTTAATTATTTTAATTAAAATACTTAAATCTAATTATTTAATAATAAAAAAAACTTAATAAATTAATTGATGTATAAAATTTTGAAATATTGTTGGTCTATTTATTTAAATGCGCACGACTAACAGCCCTTTCATAGATACTCTGACTGAGCCGGCGCAAACCGGTTTGTACCCCGACGGAGCGTCGGTGAGACCTCACGCACACATCGCTGCGCTATGTATGGGTGTATTCGCCGCGAGCCGTTTGTATGTAGCTTCCCCTCTGGTCGGTTTCTTTACTCATGTGCTCATGTGCATATGATTACGGACAAAAAACCAATATGGCTGTCACAGACTAATCATAGATAAATAAATATGTAGAGACTAATTAGTAGATTCTACCCGAAATGGCTGCGAGCTGCGACCGATCTCCTAGTTAGTCTGTACTTAGAAGATTCGTATAGAATCATTGATTTATGAAAAATAGGGAATATGGCATGTGGTCACGTGATCTGAAGTCAAGTGTTTCTCCAATATGGCGACGACTCCACCCACAAGAAATAGCGTTGTTTTTGTCGATATTTTCAGTATCGACGCTATATAAATTATGACGTATTGTCCATCTGATTGGTATATATTAAATAAACAAATATTAGATCACTACATTATTGCATTGGGTTAATCCTGTAATAATAGTTGTATTGAGATGATAAATAAATCTTACGTTCAACTCAGAATAGGAAAGTTTTGAAACTGTAATTGCTTTAAGATATGGTGAAGCAACAGTCAAAAGTGAGCGAAGGGACCAAGGAAAGAGCACTTGATTGGAGCTTTAACTCCGTTCTTTTCAGAACACGTATACGACGTGCACCAGAATATTATACTGAGTTCGTGCAACGAGCTAACGTTTTTTCGTAACGACGGCAATCTGCACATAAGCACTCCATCCGTGCGTCCCTGGGTTGACGCATGCATTTTTTTTCTCTTCTGCAGAGATTAACGAAACCACCACTATAGGCAATGTATTAGGCTTCGTATGATTTTTTTGTCCAGCCCATGGTGTCCCACTACTAGGCAGAAGTCTTCCCTAAGTTTTTAGTGGTTTTGTCCTGCACCACATCGAACCAGCCTCAACAGTATGCGTCCAGGTTGCGTGAATTATATCATATATATATATAGACTTTATATCGGATGGGAAGTTAGTTGCTAGCGCAAGTCCTGTACCTTCACGCTTCGCTTTACGTACTGTGATCTGAGACACCATCAAGTTTTCTTTCAACTATATCTGCACGGACTAGCCCTCGCTCTTAACTTCCAAGCCGCCATAAAGATTCGACAACACCTTTATTTTGTGGTAATGGTCGGTTACCAGTTCAAGTCACCGTGAACGTCTGACCTTTATCTTGATTTATTTAAAGTTTGTGGTGCATATGTTCTTTTATACATAGTTACTAGCCGTCATCTCTCTTTTTTTTGATAATAAAGATTATTTATTTATTTATCTCAGTAATCTAATAAAGTTGAGCAGCCCATTTCTAACCATACCACCGTTCACATAATCCATTAATCAGTTAACTATCCTAACGTATTCCTCAATCTTCAGCATCCCATGTTCATACCATATGACAACCAATTTCCATGCAACATTTCTATCAATAGGGGTGGCTGCGCCACTTCAGACTTCCACTTCCATACTCATTTCTCATTATATCCCATTTGTGTAACACCACAAAATATCATTTTTATAGTGTTTACAACCTGAAAGTTGTAATGACTTCCACCAATAGCGTAATTAGTGGTGGATACTGGAGGTAAACGAGAGAGTAAGGATTAAAAAATAAATAAAATAACAATAATGTATACTGATTAAAATCATTCATTCGTGACGAAATAATATTATTTAGTCAGAAAATTTATTTTAGACACCTGAACCAAATCACCCTTATGCCGAACTACACCCAGCGTTCTATTTATACATTATTTTTCAAAATGCAAGGAGCATATTCTTCTTACTACTGCAGGTTTTATGTTTTCCTGGCCTATATTATCAATCCACAAGTTTTGAAGGCCTTCATTTTTTGGCAACCTAAAATAAATATTATGCATCCTTAACCTCTCAGACCTTGACATTTTATTGGACATATTTAGTTAGAACTATGGTCAAGCCAAAGAGTATAGTAGGTCAGGCCAGACGATTTTTTAAAAAAATGGTAAAAATAACTTAGAGTCATTACTATGTTCATATCCAAAAATAAAAAATTATCAACAATTAAAATATCGAATTATTTATATGAAGGTCAAGTGAGCGCTAGAGTGACGACGATTGCAAGACGATTTGTCGATAAATGAAATGTTTCGAGAAATTATCAATTACTGTGTAGTGGTGATGTATGAATATTCATACTATTCCATGGGTTTCGTAAGAGGCGACTGATCCATTGTTCAATACAACAAGGTACGTGTACCGTGGAACAGAACGTGGCAACTATGACAAGTATACCCTCTATGAGGAATATAGTGGAGGCCTATGTTCATTGGGGGTTTTTATAGGATGTAACGGTCCATCACCAGCAGTGGAATGAAACTGTAAGGAGAGGGAGGGATTAATTTTATTATTTAAAAAAATATTTTTGTGTTTTTTTTTTTTATAGAAGAGGGGGCAAACGAGCATGCGGCTCACCTGATGGTAAGTGACTACCGCCGCCCATGAACAACCGCAACACCAGGGGAATTGCAGATGCGTTGCCGGCCGTTTAGAAAGGTGTAAGCTCTTTTCTTGAAGGTCCCTAAGTCGTATCGGTCCGGAAAATCCGCCGGTGGTAAACAATTATGTGTAAAAAAGTCATCAAACAGCATCAAACAATTTAATAAACAAAAGTTGCGTAAACAAGTTCAATGGTTAAAACAATATTAAATAACAAAACCAAACAATTCTACTGAAAAGAAAAAAAAGTAAATATTATTTCACTTTTACAACTAAGGCAAATCTAACGAATCGCTATATTATGTTAAAATTCAATATATATACATATATATATATATATATATATATATATATATATATATATATATATATATGTTAAAATCGAATAAATATTATGAAGAAAGAAACAAGGACATAGAAACACTTGATATTCATAAAGAAAAGAAATATATAATATAATTATATCGATAAACTCAGTAGAAGCCTCAAAAAAAATTAAATCACAGGTATATACTTGTACATCCGTAAGATAGCGTAATAAAGTATATACTTTATTACGCTATCTTTGAGCAACGCCATTTTTCTAACGACTTCAAACAGGAGAAGGAAGTCGACTGTGTTTTTTTATGTGTTACCTCATAACCTTCTGGGTGAACTGATTTCGATGATTCTTTTTTTATTTGAAAGCTGGTGCTTCACATTCACATTTTTATTTTTAGTTATTGTTGAAAACAACTTCGCCATAATGTTCACTATATATCGAAATTATAACATAAAACGTAATTTTCGCGCATTGGACTTTGTGGGATATGAAAATTTGTGTTTATTACATGATTTATTGTGATAACTCACACTTTTTATTTACTTTTCAGTTAATTCTGGCTATTAAATATAGTGATACGTGAACGACACAAAATTTGAAATGGCAATTTTATAAAATATATGAAATTGTTACGAAGCAAAATATAAGGAATTAAATTTTAAAACAGTGTAATTACTTACCATTTGTATAAAAACTAACAAAAAACTTTCTATTGTACCCACTTAATTTTTTGTAAAATTTCTAGTTGCCTCGTACACTCACGCGGCGAAGGATATAAGACTAAAGTATGTGACGTAAACGCGACGCGAGGCGGAAACTCGTCATTTGAAGTAAATTCTGTTAATTTAAAGAAGCGTAATTTAATAACGAAACTAATTCTAATAAAATTTTAGTTTTATAGTTCATCTAAATAACATTTAAAAAATAATTGTTATGAGCACAATAACTATGGTTCTGACTAAACGTAGTGTAGTGATCATATACTCTTTGTTTCTGAGGGGTCCTTTCTAAATATTACCATACTCTTTGGAGCGTTCTACAAAGTTGACCTTGGATTGCCTCATGTGTACTTCAAAGGCTTGACAGATTAAGTACCAATCAAAAATAATCTTAACATCATCAAATCTTTTGATGAAAAAAACTATTATAGAAAATTTACGATTACGATACTATTTTCAAGTTCTTTTCTTAAATGAAAGGCTTGTTAAAAACTAAGTCAATTTGTGACATCTCATTATCATGTCCAAAGAGAATATAATCACTACGTTTAAGAGGCGAGACTTCCATAGTAAAATAATTGCATGAAATTACGCCAAGTTACTCTACCAACATCAAGATATGATATTTAGTTTTAAGAAACAGTGCTGACAACATTGACGAATTACAATAGTGCTGTAAATGTCTATCCTCGAATAATTTTATCGATATAACATTTATCGATATATTGTTTATCGATATTTTTACATAAGAAAAGTAAGATCTCTATACTAAATTATTTATGAAAAATAAAATTTTTAACTTGTGGATTGAGTAAAAATGCCGATGAGGATAAGAAATCAATGTATTTTACACACAGCAATTTGTATTTATATCTCTACAATTAGGTACAAAAGTATGTATAAAGAAAATATAAAATAAAAACGCACTTTTATACTAGTAATTAATGAACTAAAAAATAAATGACGACTCCGTAGCGCAGTGGCTAAGCGTTTGGCTGCGGCATTGCAGGACCGAGGCTTCCTTCCCGCACTGAACAATTGTTGCTATGCTGTAAAATAAATAGTCTGCGTCTGGATGCTTGTTTTCAACGTTAGTTTTTTTAAGGGTAAAAGTATTGGGTTTTTAATACTGATTGGATTAAATTGCTTTTATGTGTAACAAATACTATGTACAAATCGCTAGGCTTCTTCACAGAGGCACCTATGTACATACTATTCGCAGAGATCGTTTACTAATTGTCGCTTTCAAAATAAGTGCTCATTATAGCTAATGTTTATTGATGAATAAAATAATGGTTTAGTTATATAATCTAATTCTTGCCAAAATGTGACTTTAGAGGGATATTATCTTTTGCTACATGTAAATGAAACCTAATTAATATACACATAAATTGTGGAAGTTTAAAGTAAGTCCACTAAAGAAATAACAGTTCGTTTTAGATGGGTTCATATGCAATGTTTGTCACAAATATGTCTTAACATGTGAATCTTTTCAATTGGTGCATGTGCCAGCTATTTCACCCATTGCTTGCATCTGAAAAAAATAATATAAATAAAATCACATTATTATTGAACAAACAGAATGTTAGCAGTCAGAATTGACTTGTAGTTTCTAAGTATAGTTCGTTTCGGATTGCCAAACCATCGAACTATCAGATTTAGGAAATAGTGTGTTTGTGTTTGTGCACACAATCGTACACTATAAAAACGTCCTACATAGATGGCTAATCCAAAAATATACTCGCGTTGAAAATCATATTACTATTAAAGTTGAAATCATAACATACCTTTCATCATCTAAGGGAAATATTCTTACGAATAACCTTTTCTTGTTATCATTTTTTCCGCTTCTTGCACCATTTAATTGGAAAGTTTTATAATGCATATTTAATTTCTTAACAATTCTGTAAATGAACAACGGCTCCTATAGCAAAATTAAAAGCAATCTTAATTAATAAAATATATACAAATATAATTGTTTGATTTGACATTTGAACCTATTTCATTTGACAATGTCTTTAATAGATATATCACGAAAAGCATAAAGAGGAGTAACAGTCATTAAAATTTGACCCCTGTAGTACATATAATTTTTACTATGGAAGTTGCACCAGCCTGATCATGTCTTTAGAAAAAATGTAGAGATACGCATAAAGGTTTCATATAAGTTGTCAATGTTTAATATGCTCACAGCATCAATAGATGGCATAACAATATAATTGTATTACGCTATAATTGTTCTATTCCCTAAGCTTTATAGGTGTTGGATGATTTCGAATAAATGGGTCAAAATGAAGATAAAAGTGCAGTATTTAATTTAATAGTGTAGAAGTATAGTGAATTGAGTTAGTCGACATGCTCTCAATCGATCGTTTGATTAATTATACAGTTTACGTATGTAAAACGTTATTTGATCATAGGACTACATTAATATTAATATTATTGTTAAAATTTATATCGATAATTTCAAAACATGACAGCACGTAAGGGCAACACTATGTAAAAATGTAAATAATCAAATTGTTTACTTGTTTAAATTTACATGATAATAGTCATTGGAAATTCTAGATAATAGCGGGAAACACGATTTAGAACCCATAACATGAACACGAAACGCAATTCACACGAAAAAATATACAATTATGGAAAAAAAATACAACTAACCTGAAAAATGACAATCCTTCTTCATTTTTACTAGAATTTGAATTACATCCATTGATGCAACACTTTGTCAAGTTGTTTTTGCTCAATTACCCTTTTCTAATGAACAAAAAAGTTCGAAAATAGTCAAAATTCACTGTAACACTGCAAAATAACTCCGAACAAGGCTTAGATGACAGACGAACTACCACAAATTGACGTCATCCTAAAATGGCGTCATGCTTCAAGGTCGAGCTTAGTGAAATTATGACTGAAATTAACGTTTTACTGGCTACGGAAATTGCCAAAATCAAATCAACAAAAGGCTACTCACAAATAATAAGGTTGTTGATTGATCAAGGCTCTGAAGCATCTTTTGTATCCGAAGCTACAGTACAATCACTGGGCCTTCAACGCCTCTCAGTTAATGGTTTAGTATCAGGTGTTGGGGATGGACAAATGAGAGTCAAGCATATGGTTCAACTAAGTTTAGAATCATTGCAAAATGCTGAGTTTTCTGTCCAAGTAAATGCCTATGTTTTGAGTACCTTGACATCGTTTCTCCCGTCTACTGAAATCAAAATCCTAAACTGGCCTGCTATTGAAAGCTTGCCCTTAGCTGATCCAAAATACGGTTCACCTGCAAAAATAGATATGATTCTGGGTGCGGATATTCACGGTGAAATAATACGAGAAGGTTTAATCAAACACCCATCTAAACACGGATCCATCGCTCAGAATACTCACTTAGGATGGGTTTTGTCAGGTCGAACTCATCAAAGACCTCAATCAAATCCTTAATTTATAAGTCTACATATCCAAATAAAGGATGATGAAATCCTGAAGCAGTTTTGGGAGATAGAACGAGAGCCGGATGAAATTAAGAAGAAACAAACAAAGGACGAAATAAAGTGCGAAGTATTTTATGAAAAAACGACAGTCAGGGATGCTGATGGACGCTATGTTGTTCGCCGGCCATTCAACAATCTTAACCCAGAGTGTTTGAAAGGAAAGTCACAAGAAATAGCAACATGGAGATTCATATCATTAGAAAATAAATTATTAAAGAATCCGAAATTGTATGAAGAATATAAAAAAGAAATAAACGGTTATTTAATACAAAACCATATGATCATAATTAAAAATAAGTATGAAATACATAAAGAAAAATCAATGTACTTACCTCATCATCCAATAATTCGCGAAGACAAAGAAACTACAAAACTTCTAATTGTATATGATGCATCCTGCAAAGGTGTTAACAACATATCTTTAAATGATAACTTACTTGTCGGCCCTAAACTTCAGCAGGATCTCCGTCACATTCTGATGAGGTGGCATCTACATCCAATATGTATAGTAGCTGACATAAAGCAAATATAGCGCCAAATACGTGTAAATGACGAAGACACTGACTTTCAGAGAATTTTGTGGAGACCAAATACTGATCAACCTATACAACATTACAAACTATTGCGACTTACCTTTGGAACTGCTTGTGCCCCATATTTGACAATCAAATCTATTCAACAGCTGGCTATAGACGAACAATCGAAGTATCCGCTAGCGGCCAAAACAACATTATATGATTATTATGTGGATGATTTACTTACTGGTTGCGAATCTATCGATGAAGCTAAAGAAATTTATGATCAAATGGTTAAATTAATGAGCGTTGGCGGTTTTATACTGCAGAAATGGAACACGAACTCTCAAGCTTTATTAGAATATATTGAAGAAGAAAGTAAATGATCAGAATCACTAGTTTTCAAAACTAATAACGATATGATAAAGGCTCGGCATAAGATGGAATCGGACAACGGACTGTTTTGAATACGTCTTAAAATTATCAAATTTACCTGAACCTGAATCAATGACTAAGAGACATGTTCTATCAAAAATAGCAAGATTATATGATCCCCTAGGATGGATAGCGCCAATTATTGTAACGGCAAAAATTTATATTCAAAAATTATGGAAATCTGGCTTAAGTTGGGATGAAGCACTAACAGAAAGCCTAATGAAGGAATGGCTAGGATTCGAAAACGATCTCGCTAAGATAGAGAGAATTGTTATACCCAGATGGGTAAATACTAGAAAGGAAGATAAAATAGAGTTGCATGTATATGCTGACGCATCACAAGCAGCCTATGCAGCGGCAGTTTATTTGAAATCAGTTGACAATAATGGTCAAGTGTGCGTTAATTTAGTATCAGCCAAAACTAAAGTTTCTCCAATTGGCAAGGAAGTATCAATTCCTCGACTAGAGCTGTGTGCTGCATTGCTAGGTACTAAATTGATATATGAAATATCACATATAATGAAAATTTCTAAAGAAAATTTATATGCTTGGTCTGATTCTACTGTGGTGTTGGCATGAATTAACGGTGAACCTAGCAGATGGACAACATTTGTAAGCAACCGAGTCTCAGAGATTTTGACTATGATAGACAAAGATCAGTGGGGTCATGTCAATACAAACGATAATCCAGCAGACGGTGCGTCAAGAGGTATGTCCGTAAGCCGCATTCTTGGTAATAACTTGTGGTGGCATGGCCCGTTGTGGCTGCAAGAAAAGACGACTCAATATAGGCAGAAGAAAGGAACATTTATAACTAAAGAAGAAGAAAGACCAATCAAACATTTTCTCACAGTAAAGGCAAGCCGTGAAGAAGATCCATTATTTACGAAGTTTTCGAGCTTACTAAAAGTATAAAAGTACTAGCTGTATGTAAAAGAGTTTTAAGGTGGAAGCTACCTAAAGATCAGAGAAAGTTTCCTAAATTTGTTACTGCAAAAGAAATGGACGAAACTCTTCAGTGTTTTATCAAACATAGTCAGAACATTTTTTTTGAAAAAGAACTTGAAATGATAAAAAAACAAGGACACGTTGCCAAAAACAAACACCTTCACTCTCTTAGTCCAATTCTTGATGAAAATGGGGTGTTAAGAGTTGGTGGTCGCATTCACCGTGCTCAAATCGAGTATGATAATAGGCACCCGATAATTATGCATAGTGAAAGTCATATTACTAAATTATATAATATTGGATGCTCATATGAAGACATTGCATGGTGGGCCACAAATCATGTTAAATTTTATACGATCTAAATACTGGATAATCCGTGCAAGAGTACTGGTTAAGAAGTGCTACAGAAAATGTATGAAATGTTTAAGATACTCCAGGCAAGACAATAACCAGTTTATGGGTCAGCTTCCTGAAGTCAGATTAAAGCCATCTCGTCCGTTTCAATCAGCAGGTGTTGACTTTACGGGATACATAAATATACGGATGTCTCCCGGTAGAGGAGCATATAAAGGATATATATGTGTCTTCGTATGTATGATATCTAAAGCTGTGCACTTAGAAGCCGTTTCGGACTTAACAGCTAAGGGCTTTATCGCAGCCTTTCGCCGTTTCGTGTCTCGTCGCGGTCACTGTACAGACTTATATAGTGATAACGGTACCAATTTCGTAGGCGCCGATAAAGAGTTGCGTGAAATGCTGAATAGTGTCAAGTCTAAGCTATCCGATGAAATCAACAAACTGCTAGTTATTGAAGGAACAACGTGGCACTTCATACCTCCACACTCTCTCAATTTTGGAGGCCTGTGGGAAGCAGGAGTTCGATGCATGAAGTCACATCTAAAACGAGTGATAGGTGATTCAAATATAATAATAGATTTAAAGGCGCCTTTTACAGATGGCTAAATGAACATTGTTTTTATAATGTGAATGACTATCTAAATTTGACATGATGTGACACAACAGTAATTATATATTTTTAATTAAATTTTAATCTTAATTATATTTAAATTTGTATGTATTGGTATTGCTAATTTGTAAACAATGACATGACGATAAATATTTTAATTGAATTTTATATTGTAATGTAATAAATTTAATTATATAAATGTATTTGCATGCTATTATAGATGGCTGGAAAAGCTGAACTACTCTTTATAATAACCACCTAAATGTACCCCTTTTTCAAAGCAAATAAATCTTCATTTCATTTCCACTATCGTTCCGTCTGTCTGTCAGTAGGCTGTATCTTATGAACCGTAATATGTAGAGTTTTCACAGAATATGTATTTATATTGCTGCTATAGCAACATAAAATAAAAAAGAAAACAAGTAAAATATTAAAGGACCCAAAAAATCACGTTTCTTGTATGAAGACCATACAAGAAACGTGATTTTTTTCTGTATTGATATGTGTTTTGTTTACAGACTAAAGCGAAACCTGGATTGACACGCAATAAAATGATGCTGTGTGTATGGTGGGATTGAAAGTTTATCATGAGCTTTTACCGCTGGGTAAAACCATCGATTCGGATCTCTACTACCAATAAATAATGAGACAAGCAAGAAATAAATAAAAAAACGGCTGGCATTGATAATCAGAAAAGGAGTGGTCTTTCATCATGATAACTCCAGATCACAAGAATAGTTATCTGTTTGAGACTTTCAATACACACTAACATTCCTAAAAATCCAGTATTTGCTTGAGTACTTAAAACTGGTTAAAAGTTTTAGTCATTATTTTCTTTTGTTGCTTGTGTTCTTTAAAAGAAAGCTTTCTGGAGGTTTTAATATTTAAGTTTATAATTTTTTTTCCATTATAAATGGGATGACTAAATCTATGTTCCATCAAATCTCTGGTATTGAATATATTAAATAAAACTACTTGTCGCATTTTTTTAATCAAAATCCCAAGATTTCTACAGCAACGTTTACTTTTTATTATGTCACTACCTACAAGATGGTAACAAATTATCGAACAGAATGGACCCATATATATTATAATTAAATGTAATAAAACTTTAAAACAAAAACTTCTTGAATTTGTATATAATATACGAAGAAACTTTTTCCCCGGTCTTATATACTAACTAAAGGTGTAAAAAATAGTACTTAATAACTTAGGGAATGATTCCGCCCGTCAACATTAATATTTTTTATTATGGGATCATCTTCGAAATTTTCAATTTATACGTGATAGACCCATACTGCAGCTATATTACTAGTATAGTTGTAGCACGAATGGGTCAGCTCGACCGGGGAAGGACCACGCTCTCACAGAATACCCGTGTAAAATAGGAGCTTAACGCTGCAGTGCTTCCTATGGTAAGTGTAGAGAACCGGAGACCCTTTTTACTGGAAACGAGGCATTCCATCTTAGTCCTCAGGGATCGCAACGTATCTGCATTTTGATTCTTAACCGAGGATAGATGTATATGTCTATGGGTACTGACCATCAGGTGGACCAAGTGCTCGTTTGTCACCCTGATCCTATAAAAAATATCTCAAAGTCAGTTATTCCATACAAAATTTCGTACAAACTTGCTCAAAATGTATGGAAGACCTGATTTTTCTTGCGATTTGGAAGATAGATCTATAGTAAAAGTTGTTCATATTAACGCGTAGAATAGAAAGCACTATTTTGATTACACCATATATATAACTATTTTTTTTAAATAGTTTGTGAATATTAGTTAGACATGTAAATAAAAAAATTAAACTGATAAAAAGGAGGCCTTATCATTTATATGTCATTTATTCAGAAGAAAAACCTATACATAATATACACAAATATATGGATACATTCGTTAATAATAAACTATTCATTTTTAAGTATTTCTGGAATACTTTCATAACTATGAACTTAACTACTAAGCCATAGCATAAAATAAATTTTCCCGTTAATCGGGTAATAGTTAAGCTGCTGGCATATACAATTTTTCACGCACATTAGCATCATGCAAATTGTCATAAACACACTACAATATTAAGATGCCGCATTCATGGAGCTGTTACTTGCAGGGAGTGCGGATCTAGTCAGAGCGCGCGATGAATTATCATTAATCTATGACACTATATACCAGGAACTGGCGACTGACACCTAACTGAGTGAGTGAGTAAACTACTCTGTGGCTGTAGCCCCCTATTTACAGAAATAATTTACATACAAGGCTACCAAATCAACGAAAATTTCGCCATTTTGGAGCCGAAAAATATTAATTATAGCTAAACAAAACAAAATTACACTGCCATTTACATTCAGTGGCTTCCCACAAAGAGATTAAAAATTAGATTGAGTTAAACAATTGATATTTTCAAAAGTTATCGTGTTTACAAGCCTTGGGGGTAAATCCACACCATAAGCCACTAAAACCCCTTTTTTATTTAAAAATAGCAATTAATCGATTTAAAAAAATATTAATAACTTCAACAATCATTTATCTTTCTAACAATGTGCTTTTTATATCATTTATATGTAAAATATGATTGCTAGATACGATTTCATTCGATAAAACGTTAGAATCTTAATTTTTAGGCGATAGTAGAACATACCTTGCTTCGCTTAAGGCATGCAATATCAGCTTAACCGGTTCAGTGCGGGTGACACGCCAGGCGTGCCATCGATTACTTTTGTCTGTGGCGCTTGACACGCCCGACGTGTCATGAAATATTTGTTCGCCGCCACAGCTAAAAGTTGCCGAAAATTGGTGCCGCAACGAATCGGTTAAGCTGCTGTGTGCTTTCGTATAGTGAGTGTAGAGAACCGGAGACTCATCGGGCAAGGAGTTCCAAAGACGTGTAGCCTGAACTGGAACGGTGTAAACATAGAACTCTTGAAGTGAACAGCAATACATATTTTGTTGTTAGAAGAACGTTGAGCCCTATCATGAGCTCTTAAGATAAGAAGGCGAAAATAGTTCTATTCTGAAATTACGCTTCTGCCGGATTGTAAGCCAATTAAGCTCGGATTAGCGAAGTATGGTCATTCTTAGGCCTAGGCCTCTGTATGGACTCAACTCTCAATTGGTCCACTCACATTCAAACAATAAGTGCTTCAGTTACTGCTAAGTTGGGTGCCCTAAATCGCCTTAGAAACTTCCTTCCGGTCAAGGTAAAGATAACTCTGGTGCAGTCTCTTATTTTGCCCATTATTGATTATGCTGATGTGTGTTGTACTGATCTTAATGAGAACCTTCTAGACAAGCTGGATCGTCTCGTAAACAACTGTGTCCGATTCATCTTCTGTCTTCGCAAGTTTGACCATGTTTCCTCCTTTAGATTTCAGCTAAATTGGCTTCCCATTCGCCAACGGAGGCAAGTCAGGACACTTCTCCAACTTTTTTCTATTTTATTCGACAATCGTTGTCCCGACTATTTGAAACGTAAGTTTCAATTTCTATCTGATACGCATAATAGACCTCTACGTTCTTCGGAGACTCTTACGCTCTCCATTCCACTTCACCGTTCCGGTTTCTCTTCTTCCTCGTTTGCTGTACGAGCTGCGCGACTTTGGAATGCACTGCCTGAAACTTTGAGAAAACGCTCCAACAAAGTAACATTTAAAAAGTATGTTAAAGAACATTTTCTGAAAGTCGTAAAGAACTCCTAAGTTGGCGTCATCATCTGAGTTAATCTGTGTTAATAGTTAATTTCATCATAATATGTTTTTTACGTATATATGTATATTTGTGTGTATATATGTATATTTGTGTGTATATATGTATTTATATGTGAATTTGTGTATATATATATGTGTGTATGTGGTTTGTATATATATATATATATATATATGTATATGTATGTATGGTATTTGTATTTTTTATTTTTATGTTTATATGCTATAATTCCTAAATTCATTATATTTCTTATTCTGTACTGTAATGTATTATAATAACCGCCTTCGATGTTTTTCCACTCCTCAAGGTTGACAGGCAGAGAATGCTTTAAGCATTATGTCCGCCTTTTGTACTTATATATTTTATAAGGTTCAAAAAAGTTAAATAAATAAATAAATAATTCTTACGAAGTCCGAAAATAAATCTTATACAGTTATTGCGAAGGCGATCCAGCTTGTTCAGAAGATCTTGGGACAGATCCGGGTAACATGCATGATCTTAGATTTTGTGGGAAGAAAATGTTTTAAACGATACGGAGAATATAACGTGGCAATGACTACGACTCACTTCTAAAATCTGAGTTCTCCAATTCAGCGTGCAGTCAATGTGTAGGCCATTGATTTTTTACAGAATAATTGAACGGAAATATTCAATAATTCTCCAAGTCTGCAAGATTAATTTTAGCTAGCAAACTTGAGCTACCCACCAGTATAGCTTATATTTCAAAGGGTTGACCAGGGATTTCATGTGCGGCGGCTTACAGTAGGTACAGTAAACTCTTATTATTATTATTCGATAGGTACTTCAAAATTTTATGTAAACAAAATTAAAAATATATTGTAAAGTAAAACACCACGTATTACGTAAAATCTGTAATAGCGAGCATGGCGCTTTCTTCATAAATTTATTTCTATGCATCTCTTTCAGACTATCAAAATCCACAACAGAATATAGGTTGCCCCTTAAGGAGGACATTTGCCATAGTTGTAATGTTTGGCAGGCGGATAAGGAAGGTGTTGCTGCCTATTTTCTGGCTCGTCTCCTTCTGTCGCCTCTTACAACACGTATAGGATAATATGGGGTAGTAGGGATGGCGAGGGAAAAAATATATCGATATATATCGAATCGATATTTAAACAGTATCGATATATATCGCGTGATTACTATCGATATATCGTCATCATTTGATATGAAGAAATTTTATATTACTGACGGTTGGACGACGAAAAAAAAACGACAAAACCAACCAATGACACATGAATACTTTTGTACCTCCTTTTGTTGTTACATGTTTTGCCATTAATACATTTAAAAATATATCGATATTGATACGAATTCGATACTCTATGGGGTAGGTATATTTACCGTGGTGGGTATATTTATTTGACTATCAATTTTCTATTGACGCAGTAGCTTAACATTGAGTTGCGGCGCCTATAACCACGGGTTCGAACCCCGCACGTGACAAGTATTAGTATGGTCTAAAAATTTATTGTTTCGGGTCAGGATGTTTGTCTTTGTGCAATTTATATAAGTAAACTTCCTCCACGATACAAAAGAAAACTGTGCAAGACTATATCTTTAATCTTTACGTTTGCGGTGTCTGGGGTCTAATAGCTCAACGAACTTCAAATCCTATGTACTCCAGGTTCCTGCAAAGCACAAAAAACATTCCTCGCTCCCAATTTCTGGCCCTCTGGGGTAGTGTTTCGGTGATACAGGGACGCGCCAAAGAATAAAGTTCCCTAAATAGTGTTATGTCTATATTTTATATATATTTCTAAGTTAAGGTATATATTGCTATGGGCCAATGTTCCTAATTTTTAAGTCCCTCATGTCTGAAATAGTTATTGTTACAGTACAATAACTATTTCAGACATGAGGGACTTAAAAATTGTTATTGAGGAAATAAAAATATTCTTTTTTAAAACGCGGGTCGTAATTTGTTATGAGTAGGAACCCTGTTTTTATCGACTTACAGAACAACACTGTAGTCTTGTCAAAAAATAACATTTTACAATTCATTTAGTGCATATTATTTAAAACTACCGCTCCGGCTTCACCTGTATGGGATTTATTAATATTGCGTTATTTAGATGTAGCCCATGCACTCCTGCAGCCAACTTCAAACAAAGAGGTTACAGATGCGTTGTACCTCCGAGGGACTGATCAAATACCATATCCTTTATAAATATTTTGATTTGTCAAAAAATCTCAAGAGATAAAACAGCCTATAGATAACTCCTGGCATTGTTCAGCCATTTCGAAGATAGCATCGACAGACAGACAAATCAAAATTTTAAAAATGGTCGCTCGTGTCTTTATGACAAGTAAATAACGATTCAGTTCAATAAAAGGCAGTAAATTAGATATTACAGACAGATATCAATTTTATTCATATGTACCTATAGATTAAATCAATATGTACATTAGATATTAACACTTAATTAAATAGGTACCTACTATAGTTAAGTTCAAAGAAGATACTTATAACATTATAATAAAATAATATAAACAAATTTTTAGCTATCTTTGTACAATTATTAACTGGAATTCATTTTAACGAAATCGGCCACAGAAAACATTGATTTAAAGTATAAAAATCGGCCATTATTTCTAAACGTAGTGATTATATTCTCTTTAATTATTTCCTTCCCTTATATTAGATTCCTTCATCCTCTCCGTTAATAATTCTTCTGAGGTGTCCATTTTGTTGACCTGCTCCAAGCACAATTCTAGAATTTTCTCCAGGGCCCGGGCAGTGAGGTCCGAGGGATATTTTGGAATGTCAGGGACGTGGATGAAGAGGGTTCTCGTGTTGTCCACGCTAAGTGACGTATAATAAATGTACTCGCAGAGATACCTGTGAAAACAATACAAGTAATAGTTCCTTTTATTCAATAGTAGCTGGTACCCGGCGTGTTGCCGCCGCAGAAGAAACAATTGTGAAAATATAGTTTTAAATTTGGAAGAGTTATATTGTTTAATTAGGAATGATATTCATTCATTGAAGTTGAACGATAATATCATTCAATTTCCGTGAATGTGTATTCACCGACAAATTTATTTGAAAGTATATAACTATCAAATAAATGTCGGTGCGATACGCGCGCCACCAACTGTAAGCTTAGATCATTCAACCAAAGAACGAGTAATGCGCCTAATGCTACGAATAAAAAAAGTCTGTCACTTTTGGTGCGGGGCGAGGAAACACTAGGTACATAAGACGGTACTGCACACCTACTCAATAAAATTTTGTTTCATTATGGCACACATAAATCTAAATCTGCAACACTGTTACATTTTACGCACAATTATAGGTTAAATACATCAATGTAGAAAAAGTGATGAGTGTAAAGGATAGACGAATTAATTGCGATGCTACCATATCGATATTTTATATCGATAGTTTCCCTAAGCGAATAAAAAAATAAGCAAAAAGCACTCGAACAATTAAAACCATCTGAACTCTTTAGTTTGGTCAGCGCAACAAGTCTTTTTAGAATTCCGTAGTAAAACAACAAGAAATCCTTATAGTTTCACCAAGTCCGTCCGTCTGTCAGTGGCTTAGCGTAGACACTATTGGTACTCTTAAGAGCTATAATTTTGCATGGTATATAACCATGCAAAATTACAGCTCTTAAGCACGTGAACACGAGAAATAAAAAAAGGCTCTAAGTACCAAAACAAAAAGTGGGTTGCCTCAAAAAACAATCCCAAATTTTACAAGTACATAACATGAATAACACTTACAGCATCTGTCAACAGTAATGTTGGTAAAACATTACAGACTAATTTGCGACGTTCACTAGGCTAACATTGAAATTAGGATGAATCAAAGTGCATCGAACAGATAGTACTTGTGCGGGTAGATTCTCAACCCCTTTTTCGATTGTACAATTGTGCCTACCTCATTTTTAAGTGGGGTCTTTTGGAAATCTGTAAAAGTAAATCCATACTAATATTATAAATACGAAATTGTATATGTATTATAGTTTTTCGGAATAAAACTTATCCTAATGCTTAACCCAGTGCATAAGCAACAAAAATGCCTAATTGCAATCAAACAGATTCAGTAGTTTCAATATGATGGGTGAATATATATGTGTGCGTGTGCGTGCGTGCGCGCGCGCGTGTGTGTGTGTGTGTGTGTGTGTGTGTGTGAGAGAGAGAGAATGTGTGTGTATGTGAGCGAGAGCGTGAGTGAGTGCGTAAAATTAATGTTCCTAGTTAGTGAGATGTTTGATTTGTTTATGATATACAATATTAAAAGACAATAATAACAAAAAAAAAAAACTAAAACTAATAACTTAAATATCCTACTCCCCATGGTATCGTGCCAAGAACGCTGGCTGCGTTTCGTATTTTATATTTAATTAGAAAGAAACTATTTTAAGTATTACTTAAGTAATAAGTACTTACTTAGTATTCCATAACGAGTCAGAAATTATTGTAACCAAAAGACTTGAAAACTTGACAAGGAAAATAAGAAATAGTACCTACGATTTGCAATAAACTGTTTTATTTATGAATATGATTATAACATCGTTATTCACATTGAACGATCGTAGCATCCAACCTAATAGAAAGAAAAAACCCGAAAGAACCGGGTACCCGGTTCTGGCAAAAGTTTGCAACCGAAAGAACCGGTTCCTGGAAAGGGATCGGTTCTTGATGCCCTACACAGAGAAAGAGACAGAGAGAGAGGGGGAAAGAAAGAGAGAGAGAGACAGAGACAGACACACAGACAGACAGACAGAAAGAAAGACAGAGAGAGAGAGAGATCGTTGCTACTCCTGAGGACTATAATGGAATGCACTGTTACCAGTAAAAAGGGTCTACATATCTCTACACTTACCATACGATACACAGCAGCATTGACTCGCTATTTTACGCTGGTATTCTGTGAGAGCGTGGTCCTTCCCCGGTTGAGCCGACACACTTGTGCTACCTTCATAATATAGTTGCAGCATGACTCTACCACGTAAAAATGTTAAACAAAACATGATAAATATATACACAAACATAGATATATTAAATAATAAAAGTAATATTGTTACACCAACAACACTTCATTTGTTTGTTTTAATACGGAGTAAACGCCACTAACTGATAAGGTTATTAATCAATCAAATTCTTTCCAACCCTCACCTTCCAGCGTCTTTTGATGCCACAGCATTAGTATTTTCCGGAGGGTTTCCATCATTGAACTCCTTGCAAATCTGTTCTACATTCAGCTTTGTTTGCAGCCTGATAGCCCCCTCAGCTGGACAAGTGTGATCAGCTGGACAGTTGTCAAAGTAGTCCTTTCTTTGGTAGCCTTTCCTGTGAGCTTGGGTTTCCAAGGTCATACAATCAGCTATACTCGACACTCCCACGTGGATCACGAGCTGAAGTTAAATACAGTGATAATAATAACGTCCTCCAGACCAAATATCAGTCACGGCGGCCGGTCTCAATAGAGATACGCCATCTGCACACGATAGGATTATAGGGCTAAGTGTAAGCGCAAGAACAAATGCACTCTCTGTTCCCTCACTCTCATATTCCGATAGGACGGCAATCCAACACGACCGGAGAGAGATCAGACGCAGGACTAACGGCCTCACGTGCTTTCCAAGTCACGAGGATGACACCGTCAACTACCTGATTCCCGCTAATGAAAAATTCTTAAAAAATAATCCCAATAACTGATTTTTGGCCTCACCCGGGAATTGAACTTAGAACCAAATTGAACCCAGGACCCTATGACCCAGAGGTCGCGTTTATGACCACTAGACCAAAGAGGTAATCAAATTAAATATACTTTATGTAAAATTTATTTGCTACTACAGAAAATTCGAAAGATAAATCGAAGCAAAATATTGACTGCAATAGAGAAGTTGTTTTGCTTTAGGGCTTATGACTCAAAGGATTTTTTTTATAGAATAAGGGTGACAAACGAGTACACAGTCTACCTGATGATAAGTTGATGCTGTCATAGACATCTACAATTATCCTCAATTAAGAATCAAAATGCAAATGTGTTGTCATCCCTGATGACAAAGATGGAATGCCTCATTTTCAGTAAAATGTTTCTCCAGTTCTCTACACTAACCATACAAAAAATTAAAAGCAGCTTTGAGGTGCTATTTAAGATGTTATTCTGTGAGTGTCGGTCCTACCACAGTCGAGCCAACTTATTTGTGCTACAACCATAATATTGCTGCAGCATCTGTATCTGCCACCCAGCAGTTTGACAAGTACAGAGCGCAGTATAACTACTCTAGTCTAGGCTAATAGTCTTGTTGTTGGCTGCAATAACCACTTAGGTGGATTGTAAGTTCATTTGCCGCTTCTATTTTATAAAAAAAAGATAAAATTTGCTTTTGCAAAAAACCCAACTTATATTAACATATTATTATAAATATTTAATATTTCTCAATCGCCCTTTCCAACAATGATTTTAAAAATCTCCGTAACCTAGTCATGTAAGTCTCTTGTTTACCCATCAACCCCTTTTTTAAACCTACTGAATATAGGCCTCCCAGATATTTGCAATAATTGCCACACTTGGCAGACGTGTTTGGCTACCACAGGTTTTTTATTGTTATCAGGAAGGCGCTGCTGGTCGATCTCCTACTTTGTTTCCTTCTTTTGCTTCCTACGCCACAGGAGAAAATGGTGCAGTTGATATTCTTACACCGCCACAACACAGTTACGTACATATTTATGAACATCTTATGATATCATATGTAATACATATTATTATCAAAAGCAAACAACATAACCCTATAGTTTCCTCAGGCTTAATTTAATCAGAGTGAACAATAGAAGTAATATCATTATTTGTCATATTTAGTACAGTCATTGTTAATATGAATGGTAAAGCTTGCTTACAAACATTTGTTAGTACCTATTTCTTTATTTCACATGACAGGACTGGTCACATGATGCGTGATCCACAAGAGAAGTGGTGCAAAACTGTTACTCACTGGTATCGCAGAGATGGCAAGAGAAGTAAATGACGCCAACAAACAAGATGGGAAGAAGACTTAAAACTCACGGCTGGACGTCATTGGAGAAGGGTAGCGCGAGACAGGTCCCAGTGGAAAATGTAAGAGGAGGCCTATGCCAAAAGGCAAACTGAGCTTCGGGACATATTATAATAAACAAGAACATGTCTAGTATTCATATTTAACTGAGAAGTTCAGAATAAAAAGGCTTATTATTATTATTATTTCTTTATTTATTTCTATAGACATCTACACTTACAGGTTAAACCTAATGCGGTAGTGTCCTCTTTTCCATTCGAAACTAAATATAGTATTAACAATTTAAAAACTAATTTACACTACTTAGCACTAACTATATGAAACTATGCAATTTCAAAAACAGTGTTCCTATAAAGGATTATTTTCATCACTACTAGCACTATGATTGTATTTGAATTTAATATAAATAAGGAAGCTAAAAGAAGCCAAGTTTCTTTTCTACCAACTTCAAAAAGAAGCCGGTTCTCAATTCAACTGTTTTTTTTTAATGTGTGTTACCTCATAACTTAACTAACTTACTGGGTGAACCAATTTCGATAATTCTTTTTTTATTTGAAAGCTTGTGCTTCCCATGTGGTCCCATATAAATTTGATCAAGGTTTGACCAATAGTTTTTGAGTTATTTGTAATAATATATATTGAAGTTGGTTGTTATTTTAAAATGTTTAATTTTTAATTATTGTGACTGCCTAGTTGGTTAATGGTAGTAATCGTAATTGATCATGAGGTCCCAGGTTCAAATCCTGGGTTAGGCTTAAATCAGTTATTGAGTTTTTCTGTCAAGAAATTCTCACTAGTAGCCTGAAGTCAGGAAGTTGGCGGTGTTTCATCCTCGTGCCTCGTACCATTGGACTATGAGAGTGAGGGAATAGTGCATTTATGCATACACTTAGGCATTATAATCCTGTCGCATATGGCTATTCTACGTTGAGACTGGCCACCGTGACCAAAATTCTGTCTGGAGGACATTATTGTTAACCTTTTGTGACCCAATCATAAATAGAAATAGCAGTGTGTTAACTAATTTAGCCTAATAGATCAGTACGAAATAGTTGTAGTGCTCGTTATAAAGCTCGCTGAACCAATAACCACTGACAATGAGGTTCTCAAGTAGTAGCTTCTTACTGATTAGGACAATTTAGAGCAATTTCCCCTTAAATGGAACGACTAATGTAGATATTTTGGAACTAAATATTAATAGTATGAATAATAACTTAGTGAATGAATACTCATAGATATGGTCTCATCCTTGCAATATTTTTATTTAGAATAAGGGTGACAAATGAGCACACAGTCCACATGATGGTATGTTGATACTGTGGCCTACAGACATCTACATTTATCCTCGATTAAGAATGAAAATCCAGATGCCTTGTTATCATTGATGACTAAGATAGTAGGCCTCATTTTCAAAGGGCCTCTTTTTTACTATGCCCACTATACGATACACAGCAGCATGAAGCTGCTATTTTATGCTGGTATTGTGTGAGTGTGGTCCTACCCTGTTGGAGCCAATCCATTTGTGCTACTACCATATTAATGCGACAGTGTGGCTCTACGACATATATATATATATAATGATATCTTTATTGTGTAGCTTCAGAATGACTTGACCAATTGAGGTCATATTTACACAGATATTTGTTTTGTCAAGAGGATGGTTTGTAGTTATTAAGAAATTCTATTATAGAATTTTCCAAAATGAGCCATATTAACAAAGCCACTTGTCACTTACTGGAAATGACAAGACAACTTCTGCTCAGCCAGCTAGTTTAAAAAAAAAGTTTTTTAGTTAGTCAGTTTAGAGATTTTTTAGTTTTTTCTAAAGAATGATTCTATTGTCACATATTTTCCTTATTTGTCATGGCACAGATATGTGTATATACATATATGTATATAATATCTAAATATGTAATGTTTTTAAGGAGATTTATGTATCTGTACTGTATTAATATATTTACATTTTATGATATATGTATTATAAAATATCTTCTATATATATTGTGTGTCCGGTCCTAGGTTGTGACCGGACACACTGTATATATATATATTCTGGTTTATTCAAACTTCGTTATGTTTTTTTCTCATTATTAGTTTACTTTTGCTGCACTATCTCCCACATGTTTATCTCTGCTTAGCCTAATGGTTGACTACGAGAGAATGCTTTAAGGCATTAAGTCCGCCATATATATGATTTTTCTTTAGTGCATAAAAGTATAAATAAATAAAAAATAAATAAATACAATAGGCTACTTTCTGCAACTATATGTCTAATCGCGTAATTTGCATGTGGGTAGCAATATTATGATAATTCGAGAAATGAAATCTCATTGTGATGTTGTGAGCAACTTCGGTGAGTGATCTCGGTGTGCAGCTACAATGTTTATTACTACAATTATTGGAAGCTTGCAATAAAGTATTTAATTTTATTAAATAGAAATATGATGTAGTCTGTTTCATTCCACCCATTTGTTTGTCATTTAGCAACTCTTTGGTGTCAATTACTGCTAGTTTTCTATGAAATTTAAGGTAGATATTAAGTTAAGGGTTGTTTCCAAGACCTATAATGTTAGGGATGCTAAGTGAACAATCAGATTTAAATTTATGGCTGTTGCTAATTATGCGATAATTGTATGTTTAAAAAATAATTATTCATACAATAATCATGTAAATAAAAAAAGTACTTATATATCCATAAATTTTTAAAATTAAAAAGTGCAATTTTTTCAATATCATATTATAATATATTTATGGTTAACGATTACATCATCATAAGAAAGTATGGAGCTTTAGGGTGGCCTAACGGCCACCCCAGCCACACCTTAACCTATTGTAACTGATAATTGCAATGTAATGTTTTATTAGACACAAATAGTTCAAACTTACAAGTATCAGAATTACATAAACACATACACACACATATTATGTGCGTGCGTGCGTGCGTGCGTGCGTGCGTGCGTGCGTGCGTGCGTGCGTGCGTGCGTGCGTGCGTGTGTGTGTGTGTGCGTGTGTAGAGGGTTATTTTTCAGAGTTGACAAATTTTAAACTAAAGTTCAAATATATAATAATTTAAAATTAAAAATTTTGTTAAATGTTAAAAAATTTAGTTTGTAAATTATTAAGAATAACTTAAAAACTATTGGCCAGACCTTAATCAAATTTATATGGAACTACATGAGAAGTACTAGCTTTCAAATAAAAAAAGAATCATCGAAATCGGTTCACGCAGAAAAAAATTATGAGGTAACACACATAAAAAAAGAAAAAAAAACACTAATTGAGTATTGAAATGATATACCATTCTTGCAGTTTTTGAAAATAAGACTAAATATGGCTTCTACTTTTATTTGAAATTTATATGTGATTTATGGGCAACAACGTTTTTGCCAACTAATCAACCCTTTCAAATGAGGAATTTGCAATTCCCCTGGTGTTGCAGTTGTTCATGGGCGGCGGTAGTCACTTACCATAAGATGAGCCGTAAGTTCGTTTGCCCCCTTGATTGTTCGTACGAATATCATGTAAATAGATACTTTCTAAATTTATATTGAGTAAAGTATCTGTGTTTTAAACTACCTGTCATCATCATCATACTTCTAGTGCTAATATTTTATGAAAGTCACAATGTTTAAGTATCATATATAACTTTTGCAGCGAAGTAAAAAGTTATTTTTAAAGATAATTAATAAATAGTTTTTCAAAATAACAACGAAAATGATCTGTATGTTACCTTTGGTGTGTGTGTTTCCCATAAAGCGGGCACAAATTCATCCACGTTCTCATAGGTAACTGGTATCTCCAGCTGCACCAATTCAATATTGTATTTCTTCTCTAATTCCTTTTTGTTCATAAGCTTAACTGCCTCCCAACTAGCGTTTACTGGATGATTTAAAAACGGGCCAAAACCTGTCACCAAAACCAAAGGCTTAAATAAGAAATCCAAATCGGAAGCCATCACTACACTTTGACTACATAAAATTAAAACGGCTGTTAGTTAACAATATTTCAAACTCGCAAACTATAAATTCCAATTTCCAATAGGTTTTGACAATTTCATATTGACATTTATATTTTATACCACCAGGAAATGACAAAAGTCAGCTGATTATTTTTGTTAAGTTACTAGACTTGCTTCCAGGGTTGCCTGTGCGTGCAGATTTTTTTTAAATATTTACTCATGTGCATGGATTTAAAATACTTTGATTACTGGATTTAAAATAAATACTTTACGTTTAATGTGTGTATTTTTGTTCAGAATATTTTTTTTAAATAATTTGATGCATTCAGTTTAATTCCTCTTAATTATTTCTTATAATATTCACACGATAACTACAAATTTAATGAAACAGATTTAAAGGATCGTAATTTTACGATCCCCGTAAAATTACGACCTTGATAATTTATGTCGAAGTCAGTTGCACAAAACTTTAACTAACTGCTTCCTGCAATTGTTACGTTTTTTCAACACAAATATGAGCATTTATTTTCATTCTTCTTCTTCTTGTTGTGTGGGCTATCAAATAATTATAAACGTTCAAGATAAATATAGACATTGATTTCGATATAGTTGAGTCCACGGAATATAAAAAACAAGTTTTTTATATTGTATTATACTTGTTTTTTATATTCCGTGGTTGAGTCAATCCCTAGCGTACATGTAAAGTATTTTGATGAAAAATGTATTTACCAAAATCATGCAAATCATAAAAACGTGACTTTTTCTTTGCAAAATATAAAAATTAACAAAATAATTGAAAATATTCTATATATTTTAAGCCGTATAATTTATAAAATAAATTTTAGCCAAAATAAACATGTCATAGCGGTGAGTGTGTCTTGAGAATTTACCTCTGAAATGTGCAATTATAAGGATTCTTTCCCTTATTGACACTGTAGCCACCACATAACGTATATATCCTTAAAGGGGGTACGACTCATAGAACAAGTAACCATTGTTGAAGACAATTACTATTTACCAAAAATGACTACAATAGGTCTGGCAACCCAATTTTGTTAAGGGTATCAAAAATGGTATAAAAACTACGAACCTTTAAAAATGACTGAAATATTGATGAGTAAAGTGGTGTTTTTTATTGTTACCTACAAAATGTTTACGAGCCACACTACACAACACACCAGTGTTAATAACTATTTGGGTTTTATACCTACTTACCTGTTCATGAAATAGGAGCGCTTGGCTAAATGGTCGAGGTGTCTGCCCATCTTACATCGTTTGTATAAGGCACAAAATTACCTAAATTGTTACTCTGCGTATTCAAGTCAAGGTCAGCGCTCATAACTTATACATAACTCTCGTGGCACAACCTATACCTATAACTTTACCTACTTATCTTGGTATGTGTATGTAAAATATCATAATATACCTTTAGCATTGCTAATAGATGCGCACGTAAAGGTATGTAAAGGTACGTAAAGGTATGATAATAGATGCGTGTGCCGTGTAAGCTTAAAGCATAATACGTTCGTATGTATGTTCGTATGTACGTATGTGCGTGTGGTACGTGCGTTGATAAGACGAGTGCGATTGATCAGGGTTCAGGGACAAACTGCTGTGACAGTATGCGTTAAAATAAATCCAAGAATAAAATCGATAGTGAAGTGAGGGATAGCGAATCTTCGGCTCTTTGTTTACCTACATACAATAGCAATACGTTAAAGTTATCGATAAAGTTATGTCGAACAGCCATAAAAATCGTCGAGATCGTGGATTCGAGTCCCACTTGCCATATTTTTCTTGTCAAGTTATTTATTTATCAGTAACCTTTATTTTCTGTTTTTTTTTTTTTTTTTTTTTAATTACTGTTATATCACGCACCTTGGGAATAAAAGTCCGATATGAGAAGATAAAATCCTGTAGATCATGTTATACCTTTATGTAAAATTTCATCAAAATCAAGTTTTGTATTATACGCATTGAATGTTTGCGACCATTTTCAAAACAGAATAGGTACCAACTACCAACGTAATACCGCAATCAGTTTATTCAAAAGTAAGTCAAAGTAAAACTAGGACCATATTATGTTTGCAACCACTGATGAACTACGTAACCTACAAAATTTCTTCACGTGTCACTAGGAACTAAATAACAGTACGAGTTGATTAATACTCACTAGATTAGTAAGTTTAAGTAAGTTTTTTCATTTTATGTCGTTGTAAATCATGTGCAACTTCATGGTTCGGTCAGTTAATACCTACCTATGTATTACTGCCTAGTTACTAATCAATGGTAAAGCTGTATACTTTTCGTAATCTTTTGTTAGTAACTTACCATTGGAGATTTATTCCACGCATTTCTGATGATAAAAAGTCATAATTTTCTGAAAAATACTGCGCAACCATAAAAATATCCACTTTTGGCAGATTATCTTATTATTTTTTTCAAAGCCCGCTTCCATTTTTTTTACAGCACTACACACCGTGACCGTTTAAATATAATCATATAAAAGCAAAATGTTCAATACGTTAGTTTATAAATCAAATCAAATAGTTTATTTGTGATTCACAGGTTTTAAAAAGGTCTTATTTAAACACAAATAAAGTTCAGTTTGATCAGTCTAATGGGCATACAAATGTCAAATAATATTATTAATAGTTCATTGATTACATTATTCATAATAATAGATTAGATTATTAGATTTTTTTCTTTCTCTTTAAAAAATGTTACCCCCACACTAGAATTTTCTCCTGTATCGTGGAGGCAGTTTACAAACATAGATTGCACATGCATACAACATCCAGACCCGGTACAATTATTTGTAGGTCATACAAATTCTTGTTCCGTGCGGGATTCGAACCCGCGGCCCCAAGCGCAACAACTCATTGGTAAGCCACTGCGCCACGGAGCCAATTATTCACCTTAAATAATATTGATTACATTAGATTAGATTATTCATATTAGATTAGATTATTCATAAATTATTAGTTCAAAATTATTATATAGTCGTTGGGTTTATTATAAGTACTTTGCCATGTAATATAGTCAACCGGACATTAACTCTGACATTCGATATAATATGTACGGTTAGTAGTTAGTACTGTACTTTTCAAGCACAGAACACTAATGGTAGCCACTCACGGTCAGTTAAACTGAACAGTTTAACTGACGTACATCCAAAAACTGATCGTGAATGTGAAATCTTAAGTTAAAATTTTTAACTGACGGCAACCCACGTATTTTTCCGGGCGAACCGTAATCACAGCTGGCTTCAGTTCGTTTTCATTATTGGTAAGTACATACTTTCTTAGTAGCTTTTAATTATATTTTATATTTTTTTATAACATTATTTGTATGCTGTTTAGATTTTATATATTTAGATAAGTTGGTTTAACAGAGGATGGAGACCAAGGTGATTTTAATGATGTCACCTTCCTTATGGTGGACTCAGAAGGTGGATAAAGGGTCTCAGTGATGCTACTACGTAGAACCATCGTGTTTGAACTCATTTTCAAATAGGTAAATGGAGACCTAGATGACTGTTATGATATCACCTTTATGTTGGTGCAATCCGAAGGTGATTATAGGATTTCAGTGATGACACTAGATAGAAGGATCGTGTTTGAACTCATTTGAAAGGGCTCATAAAGACCTAGGTGACTGTTATGACCTCACGTTTCTGATAGTGCAATCCGAAGGTGGGATTAGGATCTCAGTGGTGGCACTAGATAGAACGATCGTGTTTGAACTCATTTGAAAGGGCTCATAAAGACCTAGGTGACTGTTATGATCTCACCTTTTTGATGGTGAAATCCGAAGGTGGATATAGGATCTCAGTGGCGGCACTAGATTGAACAATCGTGTTTGAACTCATTTGAAAGGGCTCATAAAGACCTAGGTGACTGTTAAGACCTCACCTTTCTGATGGTGCAATCCGAAGGTGGGTATAGGATCTCAGTGGTGGCACTAGATAGAACGATCGTGTTTAAACTCATTTGAAAGGGATCATGAAGACCTAAGTGACTGTTATGACCTCACCTTTCTGATGGTGCAATCTGAAGGTGGGTATAGGATCTCAGTGGCGGCACTAGATTGAACGATCGTGTTTGAACTCATTGAAAGGGCTCATAAAGAACTAGGTGACTGTTATGATCTCACCTTTCTGATGGTGCAATCCGAAGGTGGGTATAGGATCTCAGTGGCGGCACTAGGTAGAACGATTGTGTTTGAACTCATTTGAAAGGGTTTATAAAGACCTAGTTCAATGTGATTATATTACCTTCATGATGGTGGACAAAGAAGGTGGGGTAAAAGATCTCAGTTATGCCACTACGAAACACCATCGTGTTTAGGCTCATTTGAAAGGGCTCAAGAAGTAACTACACAAATAATATAAACATAATAAATAGTACAAACAGTATTATGTATACAATACAATATCCCAAGTATGTACAAAATTAGAAATCGACCATATATTTTACAGGCAATAAAAAACAAGGCAGACCGGAAAAAGCATAACCAACTACAACCAGAAGACGAAAATATCTGCGTACTTCAAGAAAACCTACAAGCACCATTAACACCAATTCCTATAAATGACCAAGTTACCTGTACTCAGTATTTAGAATTCAATGATTTTTGACTGATTTATTATACGAATACTACACATTTAATAAAACAAACTTTACGGATTTTATTTTGTTTAACTTATTTTAATTCGTGACGTTTGGGTGCTTCAACTTTATTTTAGTATGTAACACGTCGAGAGCTCAATTAGATAAGCATAGAGAGCTATGCCTTCCTAACCATTTCCGTTACTGAAAACCGATAAGTATTATCTGGTCATCGTAAGATCTTCAGAATGTGCCCATGCCCACGGATTTTTTGGGCTCACCGTAACCGAAGTGCAAGTTAGTATCAGTGGGGTAAATAACACATTAATAAATAAATAAAATTTACCATAATGAATGAAATTATTATAATATCTGACCCATTTCTTA